AGGGCGGTCCGGCGGGCGCGCGCTTGCGCCGTACCATCGCGATTGGGAAAAAAAAAAAACGCACTAGAAGCGGGCGGAGGCATGTCCCAAAATCCACGTTTGCTCTGGGTTGTGGGCAGAAATTCGGGATCTTCGCCGGGTCTGAAATGGCCGATTTTGGTGGCCCAGCAGGGTGCGCGGGTTTGTGGTTTCGCACAGACCTTCCTGGCCAGGTGGCCAGTTTGTCACGCAGGGGGCTAGAAAGGATGCCCCGCTGCGAAATAGCAGACCGGATTTCGCCGCCAATGCTTATCGCAGGAGCCTGCGGGCCGCCGCGGGCTCCACCACTTCCCCGCGGCCCTTAAGCTTTGAATGCGAATCCGGATGCCCCCGATGGCCCGCGATAAATGGCGAAGAAGTGGGATTCTATATTAAAAAGAAATGGTGGTGGCAGCCGCGCGGCGAAAGCGCGGCCCGCAGGGCCGCGCTTTCGTGGCGCGGCTGGTTTGGCTTTCGCGCTGGTTAGATTTTCGCGCACGCATTTGGTTACCAATATCGCCCTCCGGGCGCGATCTTCATACCTCTCGTACAATTTCTACGCGTCCGTCGTTTCCGTTGACAGAATCAGCGCTGCCGCTGATGCTTGGCTGGCGTGATAAGCTTGTTGTCGAAGATGAAAAGCATCGTCGATCTGCTTCTTTGAACCTACTTAGTTTGTAAAAGCACAATAACTATCACACCAGCTCCCCTCACTTGCTTCTACAGTCTAGTACTACGTGCTGTTGTACTACTAGAGCTTCGTTTTTTAAAATTCGAAGTTAAAAAAGTAAAAACAGGATCCGCTTCGCAGTCAGTGTGATTGTGTCGCAGTGGCAAGTGAGTACAACAGTGTTTGTGTTCTCTAGGTGTGCAACTCCTACTTGCATTGGGTATCAATTTTACAGCTTTAGCGCGACAAGTCGCAATCTTCCAGACCCAGACATATTTGCAATCCATACATATCTTATCCTTCTTGAACTTTCGTCTTGAATTTCTATTATGCCGCTGCGGAAGTCGAAGTTTGCGCGGATCGGAGCGGCTACCGCCTTGACGGCTCCCCTCTTGCGGGGGGGGGGGCGTTGTTGGTGCAGCGAAGATCAGCCCCACGAATACGCACGCGTGGGTTGGATCGGAAACCTCGCCGTCGGGGTTTGTGGACATGGGTGGTCGCCGCGAGAAGAACCGTGTGCGCGACAAGGAAAAGAAGGAGAAGAAGAAGACGAGAAGTACCAAGGCAAGCCTAGCTGCTCGTGTTGGTCGTGATGATGATGCTGGCCCAGTCGGCGACCTAGCAAAGAAAGCAGTGCCGCCGCTCGTGCAACTTATGAAACTTGTATTTTTCTCGGCTCCCGGGGGTCGCACTTTTTATCGAAAGGCTATAGTCCGGAAGAAGTTGCCAAGTAGCAGCACCTTACCAATCCGACCACGAAGATTGTTGGATTTTCACGAGAGTTGTTGCTACCTTTGCAAGTCAGTTTTCTTCATGTCGTGCGTGGAATGATGCATGGACGCAAGATGAATGCAAATGGCGGTCCGTGGAGTCTGGTGTAAGTAAGCATTTACTCATTACTGTTGTAGTAGCCGACGCGCCGCGGCCTCTTGTGCTTCGTGGCGGTTATTTTCATTTGAAATGGCCAGGCCTAGTCTTAGAATATCAATATGGCTCGTTCGTGGGACCGAGAAATATCAAATGCGAATTTGTCTGGCTCCGGGTCTGGAACAATTTTGCAAACTTGTCAGGATCGGCTGGAACGCCCTGTAGACCCTGTGGCACGTAGCTGCTCGACTTTTTCGCCAGAGTAACGCTTCTCTGTGAGGCTGCGTCGCACCATGTTGCTGAAAAGCGTCTCGACTTTTTTGCGCAAATGCAACCAGGCATGCGCATACGTAGCAGACAGCCGGCTTAAAGCTTCTCATGTCTGGGTGTGTATTGCATATGTCCTGATCATGTAGACACTATCTAGCATCATGACTTTCCAGACCTTCACCGGGGCAGATTTGCAAGTGATGCGAGAAATTATATCATGATAGTCAAGGTTGCTGCAGTGCCAGGTGATGTGACGAAGGCTGACGCTCAAGGCCATGCAATGGCCGGCCAGATTCAGGACGTCGGGGATGAAGCTGTTGGGGGTGCGAAAACTGCCTTCTGGGTCGCGTGCGAATTTTTCAAGCAGCACTGGGTATGTGAATAAAAGCAAAACGGTAGCGCGAACCTGTCCTTCAGGTAAACAACATATATTGGACGCCCAGTCTTTATTTACAATTTTCGGTTGAAAAGTATAAGTTCCCATCGACGCAGATCCACATTGTCCCAAAAAATACTTAGCAATCTCCCCGTTCATCGCATGTGCTCTGTTCTAGCTCCACCAGCCTCTTAGCCAACCTTTTATCATTTTATCAGATCGCAAACCGAACTCTTTGCCCGAAGCACTCCCGCATGCCAATGCTAGTACGTTGAAAAATGCCTCGCACCAGACAAGATTGAAAACTACCCAAATATCGTGCTGTGAACAGGCAAGTCAATGTGAATCCATGCATAGCCAGGAGCTGCGCAACCAGCCGGAAATACCTGTCCGATATGCGTGACAAATATGTCTGGGTCCGGAATAATGCCACATTTGTGATGCTCGGCCACCAAGACGGCGCTGTAATTTACTGCATGACACGGAATAGCCAGATCGCTAGTCTGCTTGTACGGTAATGAAAGATTGGGGCTTACATATGTTTTTTAGTGAGTGCGTCTGTTAGAGTTACTATACTTACAGATGGACGCGGGCCGCGGATATCGGCCTTTCAAAAACTTGAAGTGCACACTCGCGTACCGGATTTTCTGTGTCACTTGCGCGGCTGCATCACAAATGTCGTGTCACTTGCTAGCTCGAGCCAGACATATTTGCAGTTGATACGCGACCCTAAAACCCCAGTTCGAATCCCAGTAGACCCAAAATAATTATATCCCCTGAAAGCTAAAATTTTGCCCTAAGAACCCAAATAGAAGTAAGGCCGAGAGGACGCTGCAGGTCCCTGCGGAAGGAGAGAAAGCCCTGATGCCCCTTATTGTCTGCAGCACATAGAGCCCGATACAGGCTTTCATTGTCTGCAGCACTTGGATTTACCTCCCGTAGTTGACCACGCAAGCGCACTGTCACGCGTTGTCGTCCGCGCTATTCTTGACGGATTCTGTAGTAAACTGGTGTTGGTTTCTATCTTGGCAGCGTCGTTACGTGATCGCGCAAAAACACTTCGTCGTACAAATCAGGATACGATCATTGTTTTTTTTTTCCGTGGCGCACCGCGTATTTTCGTGTCTTAGTTCGCCCTTGGTGGAGCCGTAAGCTCTGACAGTCGTCGTGGCTCCGTCGTTCAGTAGGAACCTTTTTGATGATGCCTCTCGTACAATTTTATTTTTACGTCCCGTGAGCAGGTCTGCATTTTTTCCGTCCGTCGTTTTCGTTGACAGAACTGGCACTGCTGCTTGGCTGACATGATAAGTTTGTTGTCGAAGATGAAAAGCGTAGTCGATCTGCTTCTTTGAACCTAGTATAAAAGCACAATAACTATCGCACCAGCTCCCCTCACTTGCTTCTACAGTGTAGTACGCGTGCTGTTGTACTACTAGAGCTTCGTTTTTTAAAATTCGAACGTAAACACAGGATCTGCTTGCAGCCAGTGTGATTGTGTCGCAGTGGCAGCTGAGCACAACAGTGTTTGTGTGTTCTCTAGGTGTACTCCTACTGGCGTTGAGTATTAATTTTACGGATTTGAGTAGTTGTCTTTCAGATATCTTATCCTGCTTGAACAACTTTCTTGAATTTCCATCATGCCGCTGCGGAAATCGAAGTTTCCGCGGATCGGAGCGGCTACCGCCTCGACGGTTCCTCTCTTGGGGGGGGCGTTGTTGGCGCAGCGAAGATCATCAGCCCCACGAATACCCACACGTGGGTTGGATCGGAAACGTCGCCGTCGGGGTTTGTGGACATGGGTGGTCGCCGTGAGAAGAACCGTGCGCGCGACAAGGAAACGAAGAAGAAGAAGACGAGAAGTACGAAGGCAGGCCTAGCTGCTCGTGTTGGTGATGATTCTGGCCCAGGCCCAGCCGAGGACGTGCTTCTGCGTGTAGCGTCGAAGGGTGCGACCGCCCCCGTGGAGGGTTTCCAAGGCTTGATCAACGCGCAAGCCAAAGCGGACGAAAACGCCGACTTTGTACAGGGTTATTTCGACAACATCGCTGGTGTAGCGAATGCAGCGGGATCGGTTTGGAATTATGTCGTTGCGCCGATCGGACAGTCGGTGGCGGACCAATTCTTGAGTATGTCGGTGGCGGATCGGACAGTCGGTGGCGGATCGGACAGTCGGCTGGCTTGAGTAATTTCTTGAGGAATACTAATTTCTAACGAGGAAGAGGAGCCTTGGCTTGCTAAGACCTCACTGGGTATGACTCCCGGTGTTGTTGGACAAGTCCTGAAGACGCATGTTGGAATCGTTAAACTGAAGTGGAGGAGAAGCAGAACAGCATCTTGACCTTCTCACTTTCCAACAAACAGGAGCTGATCTACTATTCTTTTATTACGGTTTATCGTCGTTCTAGTATTAAAAAAAATTTCTAATTTATTATTCTTGTACATTCTAATTTATTATTCTAATTGAAATAGAAATTGGCCTAACCAAGGACGAAAGTTTGAAAGGTGTTCTCTCTTCTCACGTGTCTAGTAGCGCTACCTCAATAAAAAGCACAACTTGGCGGAGCTGCCTTCTTGGCTCCCGCCTTAGAAACAGGGACACGTATGTCTATACTTTTGGTAAAAAAGGAGCTGTCACACACGACCAGATAAGATACTACCCAAAAGTTGTTCCTATGCCTTGGACATGCAAGTCCATCCTCATACATGCAAACCCACCCAAAGTTCGGAGCTGGAGCTGCGCAACCAGCCACAAATACCTGTCCTCGGTGCGATATCTATGCGTTGCAAATTTGTCTGGGCTCGGAATGGTGCCACATTTGTGATGGTCGGCTAGCAAGACCTCGAATTCCCCCGTAATGCATGACAGCACGAACGGAAAGAGTAAGCCGTCCCCGCGGTTGCGCCTTTCTTGGTACAGCGCTTCCCGTACATTACATCTATGCTGTTCCCACATTTTTACATATGGAAAAAAACACAAAAAAATTACATATGAGAAAAACACAAAAAAACTACATAGGAGAAAAACGCAAAAAAATTACATATGAGAAAAACGCAAAAAAATTACATATGAGAAAAACACCAAAAAAATTACATATGAGAAGAACAGTTCGCTCTGCTTCAGTGCTAAACCCAAACTTTGCTTCTTCAGGATTTTACTTTTCAGCTTATAAGAAGAACACAAAAAAATACACAGTCGCGGAACGCAGAAAAGTACGTATGGGATATTAGACGTACTCTCCTCTTTCTCCATCTCCTGGTGTCAATTTTAATTTTCTCGAAAACGTATATTAGATAATCACAAAAAGACTTCGCTGAGCTAGCAAACATAGGAACGAAACGCGAAGGGACCGAAGTTGCGCTCTGATCTTTTGATGAGCGCGCTTCTCCCTACTTAGGATTTGCGTGGCCTCATATTTGATCATAAGGCTTCTCCGTGTCGACGGTTGCCCATTGGAAGTATGAGGACTCCATGTTATGCAGTTGTAAGCGGCCAACTGCACCAGCGGTCAACTGCACCAGCGGCAGCTGCTGTTCACCGTCGTGAGCAGAGCCGCTATTTACGAGCATAGTCAGGTAGTACTTAAGCGGTCGCGCTTTTATAACTGTCCCTGCTTATGTAAGTAAAGAGAAAGTGAAAGACCGAAGTAGACTTGAACTACAAAGACATAGCCTGTTGCTACTCTGACTTATATCGTGCCCGCCACATACTTTCCACCCTTTGTCGACTTTTATTCCCTAGCCGTACTCTAGATACCTTTCTCCACCATAGCATAGCACAAGCAAAAATTGCATATCCTGCTCAGCTGCGTGTTGCGTAGCATACCCATGCAGCTTCGCCGCATGCTCTAGCATACATATTTCTTTGAAAACACTAAAAAAATATAACCAACATATGCGAAAAAACCAAAAAAAATCCAGTTACGTGCACGAAAAAAACAAAAAAAATACATATACGCAGCCGAAGAGAACTCGAACTACAAAGACATAGCCTGTTGGTGTTGTAGTTTTTATCTCACCTCTCACCACATATTTTCGCTATCTGCGAGCAATTCCTCTCACCATTTGTGATGGTCGGCTAGCAAGACCTCGAATTCCGTAATGCATGACAGCACAGAGCAGGAGAGCGAGAGCCAGAGCGCTAGCGTGCTCGCAGTAAGTAAGTAGGAAAAACTGCTGCTTATTATTTTGTATTTTGACATACTAAACCTAAACGTAAACGTAAACCTACATCGACATGGAGTATGAGTGGCCTGCTCTGAAACTGAAACTTCTTGTAATGCACGCTCGCTTGCAGAATTTGAATTCAATTTGGTTTCTGTGTGTCCCTCGCGTGGCAGCACCCCCTATGTCATGTCACCTTACAGCCCGAGCCAGACGTATTTGCAGTTGATACGCGATCCCAAAACCCCAACTCCAACCCCAGTAGACCCGAAACATGAAGATATGCCCCAAAGCTACATATGTGCCCCAAGAACCCAAATAAAAGTAGGTCCGTGCGAAAAAGCACATGAAAAGCTGCTGCCATGGTGAAGAACGGTTAGTACAAGCGCAGGCCCTAGAGTGTAACATGAACGGAATCGGGCTACAAGGCCACAGGTAAATCACCCCTGCGTCTTCCGGTCGGCCTTTACGAAACTGACTACAAAAAACCGCGACGGTAGAAAAGGGGCGGTCTAGTCTACGGTCTAGATCGTCTCCACTACCATTCGAAAAAACGCAAGTCCCAGCTATAGTACAACAGGAGCGGCATCCGACCCGAGTGTAGTCAGCCGGACCATTTTTAGAAGACGTTGCGAGGTGGGCGGAGAGGCATCACGCGTGCAGTGGAACGAGAGGAAGGCCAGCGTTCAACTGTGTGATGTTCGTCGTATACTGTCCTGCCTAGTTCACTATTCGACTCCCTTCCACTTTTTGGTCCTTTTGGTGCGTTCACGCACATCCAGGATTTTTGTGGTCGGGAGCCCGCCGAAGTTTTGCGCGCGGGTTTAGCCCTCTTCTACCCCCCGAAAAAAGGCACGTCTTCGGACCCTTCAGGTCGGTGCCCCTCCGCCCGCGTTGCGCCCGCGCTTCGCCATCAGCATCAGCATCAACTATGTAGGTTATCTCTCTCTCTCTCAAATAAAAGTAGGTCCGAGAGGACGCTGAAGGCCCCTGGGGGAGAGAAAGCCCTGATGCCCCTTTTAAGAAGATCGTGTTCGAAAGCAACGGCAGATCTGGGCGCAGCCGTAGGGATCACTCGACGACGCGCAGAAAATTTTATGTGTGCTTGCAATGATGTCATCTAGATCTATTGCTACTTACTATTGCCGCGCACAGCATGTTTTTTTTTTTTCATAGCCAGCATATCAGATCTCAGAATTCTCATGGCTCATAGAAGTTGTGCTCTTACTTAGTCGCTTTGCCTGCCTAGGCGGATCATCAAAAATTTAAGGTCTCGTACAGAGGCAGCGTTCTAGTTCTTTTCTTGTACTTACAAATGTTGGCGAGCTCTTGTTGTTTCATTTCATATGCGTTTTGGAGATCTAAAGCCTGTCCTGCAGCGATGTATTGTTCGTGCGGTGGGAAAAATAGCTAGCTTGCCGTGGGTCCGGCGATATTATCTATCAAAGCAAATTTAGTAGAGGAACAAGAAAAGGACTGCAATTTTTATATCACGTGTAGAGTCGGTGTCGGTCGTGCGTTTCGTTCTAATTACATTTTCGAAAGAGAAATAAAAATCAATGACCACCCGGCGGACGACGACTGCGACGTTCTTTGCACACGCCGCAACAAAATGAGAACGGGCGTCCTGACCCCACAACCACCCTCGTCGAGCGCCAGCGGCTCCCGGGCCGCCTGTTTTGCTGCCCGTCAGGTAGTAGTGGATCTGCCACCTGCGAAGCGTGTGATTCTTAAGACCACCCGGAAGGGTTGTCGCGGCAACGCAGCGCGGGCGCGTTCCGCCTCTCCAGCGCAGCTGCAGGAACTGCATTACAATGCCTGCACAAAAAGCAGACACGTCGCTTGCAGAGGAAACGCTACAGGTCCATGCAACCTCGAGTGTGCTGATCATGTGCAGGGACTCTCACAACTAGAGGGACAGTACTACTTTTTAGCCACCTCCACATCAGCGGGATCTGCTTCTCCCTACCCGCGCCCGTAGTACACGGTTTCACTCAAAGGAGAGTCCGACGTTCGCCCAACCGACTAAGGTGGCTTCGCCGGGTAGTTCACGTGCGACTGAACTCAACAAGAAGTACTTGCGGAGCTGGAGCCGGGCGACCAGCAAGGAGTGCATCAATTGCAAATAAAATCAGCGAGAAATAATTTCTGGTCGGAAAATAATGACGATTACTACCGGATGAAACTCGTTCGATTGAATTCGCTTCTGGGCAACTGAAAGGTCGCAGTGTGCTAGCAGTAAAGCAGGCTAGTTTTGAAGAAGATGGAGTTCGTGACCGCGGCGTTTGCGGGCACGCTCGCGTCCACGGCGCAGCAGATCTGTATCCTGAGTAAAAACGTACCCACACCAGAGTTGTAATGCAGATTTGCAAAGACAGGAAGACTTGTAATGCGCATCCGAATGAGAGCCATTTCCAGTCGTGTTTTGGAATTTGTGATGCTGTGAACAGGATGAGCAGATGAATCTGTGATGCGGCTGCACTTTCTAACCTGCACAACACTGCAGAGTGCAACTTGTCATGCGTGACTCACAAAACTCCTCGGCTTGTGTTGCAAAATCCCCATCCTGACTCTGGTGTGGGTACGTGTTTACTCAGGATAATCTGGGGCTACAACCTATCCACTGCAAATGTGTCTGGGCGGTCTGGAATAAACTTGTCCCGCGGGGGCTCATAGGTGAATGACAATATGTTAACTTCTACAGGACGCAGCCACGCATGACAGCTCTCTGAACGTTCCTGTGGTGCGTAAGTAACGCGCATGGAGGATGAGCATTGGTATTGCTGCATGACACAGAGACAGCACTGTTTTGCCACAACTCGATGCATATTTACAGAGTTCGGGAATACGGAAGTTCAGCATAAATAATACAGATCCTGCATTCTGGCAGACCCAGACATGTTTGCAGTTGACACAACCGAAATTTGTACAATTTCGACACCCACATGCGGCAGGCCAGCGTCACGCAGCGCCAGTGGGGCCGGAAGGAGTGGCTGTGGCTGCATCGCGAGGACATTTCGAATTTGGTGAACATGACCACGAGCAAGTATGAAAAGAAAAAATCCCCCCTCCCCATATTGACAACGTACTTTTTCGAAAATTTGTGTTTCTGATTTGTGACCACAAATGGTCTCTGTGTTGCATGAAGGCAACCCCACAGGCTCCGCCGCTTTCTACAGGCGGTTTGTCATGCTCTTGCTCCTACAGCGTAGACGTCTGCCACGCTAAGCGCCTAGGCCAAGACCTCTCTACTCAGACTTGATACGGGTCTGCAGTCCTCTCCAGCAAGACAAACCTGATTTGTGTACACAAAGAAATCCAGCAACAGAAGTTTTCACTTCAATATGGGGAGGGGGGATTTTTCCTTTCGATAGCAAGATGGGCATCTACACCGTGTTCTGCGTGCTGCAATTGGGATCGCTCTTCTCCTTCCTCTCTGAGGGGAAAATGCTGTACGCCTATACGGAGGACCCTATCCCGCAGAAAATTCGCACCGCGTGTTTGGTCGTGCGATTCTGCATCGAAGTTGTAGAGGCCAAGACACATGATGAAAAAAGAAAAGGATCACGTGGATTGTTGCCGCAGGAATAAGTAGATTATCTGTCATGAATATACGTACTTACACAGCCTGCTGCTCCTGATGAACACCTCACAGAACGACGGAAGATATTTCAATGGCTCTATGCATCACAGACATGGCGTGCTCTGCTTTTTTTCTGCGTGATAGACCAGGAGCACAGCGTGCCGATCTCGCCCGAGTGGATCACGCTCCCCTACTCCATCGCCTGGACCGCCTCCTTCGTGTATCTGATGCTGGCCACCTGGCTGGCGCTGCACGCGTCGGTGCTCGCGTCCTCGGGTTCCACGTCCTTGCTGTTGCAGTCGAATCAGCTCCGGTCCTTTCCCACGGGGATCGAGGTCGATCAGGTGCGCCGCAAGTACTACGACTTCGAGCAGGTGCAGGGCGAGCGGGCGCTGCGCGTGCCCTTTGTGGACCGAGTGGGCAACGAGGTCGACAGTAGGTGGCTTCATAAAGATAACGCACCGGAACAACATCAACTGACCTATTGCGGCGCAGAAGATGAAACGAAAACCACGATTCTTGGGAGGAGAGATCGCAAATGCGAGCCACTTTTTGGGGCACTGTCCTCGGCTGCAACAAGGAGCAACGATTTATTCCACTACCACCCCGACGGGATGGAGCACTGTTTCTTGAACGAAATCGCGGAGGAAGCCAGTCGGCGGGACTACGTGGCGTCCGCAGCAGGGGTCGGCCCGTCCGCCACTTCTTGCCCCATACACCACATGGCGGAACAAGTGAAACACGCGCCAGGTCAGGGAGCTGGCGTGCCTGCATTGAGAGCTTCGAACGCCACCGCATCTATCGGAGAAAAGAGAACTGTCTCGACATTGCAGGAACATGCCGAGAGCCGAGCTCTGGTTACAGTACACAATGAGCAGCCTGCTGTTGGTTTGAGCACCAGCTGCGAGCACGGCGACGCGGCGTCCGCCCTCTCCTGGAACCAGCGTCGCGTCAGTCTGGGGGAGGCAAACATTCACATGAAGCACTGCTTCACCAAACCAGGCGTCGTCAAGAGCACGGCGGTGGCGCAGCCGGTACGTAGTCGAAACCATGCGCAACAAGAAATGCTTTATTTTTCCGCTGCGCCCACTCCAGCGCAGACGGGAGCCGCTGGTGAAGTGCCAGAAGCGTCCCGCTACGGAGACGTAGAATTGCAGAACCCGCAGTCTCATCTGCCACCCCGCCCCTTCCCGCCGCTTTCGCAGCCCCAGCAGGCCCAGTTTCTGGTGCGGGCGTCGCACTTGGACCAGTATCGCTGTCTGCAACGGCACTGGCAGAGCTACGACGCGTACGCGCGGGTGGCCATGTTGACCGGCACGCTGTACTTTCTGACGGCCGCGAGCCTGTATGCGTCGCTGTACTACTTCAAGACGTCCCCCTTCATTTCCTTCGTCTCCGTCTTCGTCCTGGCGTGGTGCAAGCTCGCGGTTGCGAAACTGGACTTCAGCGCCAGCCGCGGGTGGCACCTTTGGTTCGACGTGTGCATCTTCTGCGAGTCCTGCTGCCACTGCTGCGCCGTGTTTCTGGAGCGGTGCGACTACAGCGCGCAGAACCCGGAGTTTCGCTTCGTCATGCGCCACCTGTGCACCGGCGTGCAGCTGTTCACCTTGTTTTCCTGGACCGTGGTGGTGGTGGTGTTGGCGCAGCCCGCGGGCGAGGAAGACGAAGACTTTTACGTGGAGGAAACGGAAGAAGGGTCCCCGAACTTCGTCGAAATCCACCATCTTGCTCCAGGGCAGAGGAAAGAACTGGACAAAATTCCGGAGACGAGTGAAGTAGACCTGAACGCCGGCCCGCCGGAGGAACGTCGTGAACTGCTTGTTTTGCCGGGGCGTCATGAAGAGCAGAATTCTACTTGTTCGCGGCTCGTCGTCCCTTCTGGTAGTTCTCTACTTGTGCCCGCCACTGCTAGAAGGGGGTCCGCGAAAATCGTCGTTCCCGCCCGGAGGAGAAAGAAGAGCCGGGAGTCTTTGTTTTCAAAAGCGCGGAACAGTTTTACGCTGCTGCGGTCCTCGGAAACGAGCGAACCGGACAGCGGCTATGGTGGTCCCACCTTCGGCGCGCATTCTTTCGGATTGCATGTCAATTTCAACGAAGGTTATTTACAAGAGAGACATGAACTGAATCTGAATCCGCTGCAGGAGCAACAGCAACGCTCTTGGGACGGGAACAACCAGGACGCGGGCGTGACTGTATCAGCTTCATCTGCTGGCGCCCGAGGTGACAAGAACAGAAAAGCGCACACCTCCACCTCTGCGCCACCTGCCGAAGCCGACCGTTCCGCCAGCTCGCAAACGGGGTTTCCTTTGCAGATGACGGATATAAACGATGAGAAGGCTACAGCTTCTTCTGTGCACGCCAGGACAAGAACTATGGTGTCCACGAGTTGCGCTCCTCAAGTGCGAGCGAAGGAACACCACCCCTTGCTTTTCGAGCGGGTGAAGCGGCGCGCCCATTTGCCGACCCGGTTCCGTTCCGTCGCCTACATGGACGCCCTGGCGTGGCGGCGCGCCGACCTGGCACTCGGTGTGGGGCCGCCGCCCTATCCTGTGTAAAAACGTCCCCACCTTCAGACTTGTCGTACAAATCTGCAAGCTTCAAATGCTATCTGGTAGTTTATCAGGGTAGAGCCAGGATATAATGTCCGTCGACTTGTGATGCTGCAGCTGCACTAGCTAAAAAAACAGGATGACTACACTGCGAGCCAAAAGTTGTCATGCGCGACAGGAGCCAAGACTTGTTCGTTTCTGTAGCAAAGCCACCATTTTGACTCTGGGGTGGGGACGTTTTTACACAGGATGCGCCCGCGAATTTCTTCTACCACCAGATGGCTCCGCCAACTCCGGGGAACTACTCTGTTGTTCGAGGAGAGGAAGAGCACAGAGACATAAACAGGGGCGCGACTTCTAGTACGACCCGAGGTGATATTTCCAAGTACAACAACAAAAAAGCCCCAATACCGGGCGTGGACAACGCGCAGCTCCTCGAGGCAGGTGTAGGTTTGCGAGGCGGTGTGCCAGCTAGAATGGACGAGAAATTCGCTCTCTCCTCTACAGCTGGGAATAAGATTGGAGTAACGGCCACCTCCTCCTCGCATCGTCCCAATGCGGGTGACTCATCAGACGCCGGCCGCAGGAATGATCAAACGCTTGCCTCTGCCGTGTTCGACACGGTCGTCAAGGCCACGGCCAGTCTCGGGTCCGCGGCGTTTGCGTTGTTCCAGCGGATGCGGGCGAATAGAGGAGGAGCCGGCGTTTTAATACAGGGAGATCCGCAACATGCTGGTGGCTCCGATTTGGAAAACCTTTCGCAAGACCGACCAGCACCGGGTCTAGGTACATCTTCGACCGCGGTGGTTGGTAGAAGCACAGGCAGTGTGGGTACTAGTGGAACAATGATAAGTACAAAAGAGGTGGACAACTACACAAAAACAACCCTCCCAAATCAAGAAATTCCGTTCGAGGCGCGGTCCAACACTCCCGCGGTGCAATATCTCCATGCTCCATGCGCAATCCCGGTCGCCCCCGTCGTGGGAAGCGAGGCAGACCGGGCGGTGTCGCACTTGATCCACTTGGCGCACGAGAAGCAGCACGGACGATTCTTCGAAAGTGCGGACGCGAAGGAGCTGCTAGCCGGGGCTTTGGTGGTTCAGGAAGAGGCGGAGATTTTCGGAAGTAGTAGTAATTATAAAACGACGCCAGATGATGAATTAAGAAAACAACCTACAGCATCTTCCTCCCTTCAAAACCATTTGAACACAACGCCGACCTGTTTCCCGGATTTGAGCAGCGTGTTCAGGTCTGCGGGGACAAGTAGCAGCAGCAGAGGTCCCACGCGTGCAGCTGGGGATGAAGAAGAGCACCTCCGCCGGGACCAGCATTTATTTAATCGGGGAGCGGAAAGAACCGGGAATGATAATTCTAATTCCAGTGGACGAGAAACAGAGATAGAGGCATCAGCCTCTGCTGTTCTAGCTGAAACAACCACCAGCAAAACCAGGCCGCATGATCATGCTGCAGCTGGTAAAAAGTTCGCTGAAGCAGCCGAGGCGACAGAAGCTCTAGTAGTATCACCCGACAGGCGAGAGAAATCTCTACTCGGAAATTATAACCAGAACGCAGCGGACGGCCGAGAAACCGCATTAAGAGGCCGTGATTCTTTCTACCTTCGGGACACACACCAGGAGCAATTTCGACACACCGGAGAGGTGCTGCTTGTTTTCGCGCCCCACACGGCACGGGAGATCATCGCAGCGGCGTCTACTTTCGAAACATCGTGGTCTTCCGGACACGAAGCAAATCGTCTATTAGAGCCATGCTTTGTTCGAAACAGAATTGCGTCAGCCGCGGACTACTACACCAGTTGGGTGTTCGTGCTCCAGGAGGTGAGTTACTGGCTGAAATTCGTGGAGAAATACGACCCGGAGCAGGAACATCTGGACCTGTGGCACGGAAGGCTGGGTCGGATGTATGCGCAGTTTCAGAATGCTGTAGAGGAAGTGTGCGCGAGAATTGTATCAGTTGTAGATGATCAGTCTGAAGATGCATCGGGAACAACCCCTACTACTACACAATTGGCGGTGAAACCGTTTCAAGTGCCGGAAAAGCGGTTCGTCGAAGTAAACGGGTTTGATGCGTACTCGGGACTGTGGTTCCAGACCTACTGTGGCGTCGACGGGGACGCTTACTTTGCCGGAGATTATGGAACGGATTCTGCTCAGGCACATGCAAGCAGTGAGAATGCCAGCTTTGTCATCACGGAGGACGATGTGGAGGCCACTCTGCGACTGCTGGAGAACGGGCTGCAACACGTCGAGTCGTGTTTAAGTCGGATGATGATTTCTGCTTCAGCAGTGCTGGATGAAGGCGGAAATAGCTCTACTCTTGTGGCAGAAGTTGTTGCAGAAAAAGGTACAACAACAACTACGAAAGAAGCCACATGCACGTCAAGAGGCCGCGCAGGCGAAGAGATGTTGAACACCGACATCGACGTTTTGAACTACAAGACTGCAGCCAGCACTGGACGAGAAGGAGTTCTTGGGAGCAGAAGTGAGCAAAGATTGTTACTGCAAAAATCGGAATCCAGAAGCTCCACGAACCGCGACAATGAATCCAACCACCTGCTCGAGCAGATCACCGAGGCCAGCGGGTCGAACACGGGCGGGAGCACTCGCGACCGCACGGGCGGCAGTTCCTCCAGTTGCACCACGTATGGCGCGGGGGGAAACTACTACGGCGGTAGCTACCACTCCCTGCAGTTCCCGGTGTCCGTGGTTAGCCCGCCGCCGAGGCGAAGTCAGGAAAGAGGTGGTAGGAGGAGCTTTAGCAGGAGAAGCAGGAGAGAAGTAGACGAAGAGGACAACCAAGTTATTCGGATGAACGCCGATTCCAGCGAAAACTCGTCGAATAGCAACCTGTACTCAGAAATTCTTCTGATGCACAACAGTTCGGACGAAGAGCGGGCCGCACTGGGGGTGGATACAGGACTGGAAAAAAGTAAATGCTTGATCGTAGACCATGCTGAAAACCAGAAAGGAAAGAACATAGCAGGCGACAGGGACGACGAAAGTATAAGTAACACCAGAAAGACGCCGATAAAAAAAGAACGGGTGGATAGTGTGCCATCAAAGGGTGGGACCACGTCGAAAAGAACTAGGAACAGAAAGAACAGGCGCATTAATACACCTGGTGGGTTTAGAAGTACTAGTAGCGACGGAGGGAACATCAACCAGCAGGACGAGATAGTTATTACAGAGGACGAAGGAGAAACGAATTCTACACCAGCAGGAGGTGCAAAAACTAGTCCTAAACTTCCACGTGACGAGACCTCCTGCTCTCCTGCAGGATCCAAAATGGCACGAGACCACCAGCGAGCCCAGCTGCTGAACAACAACACTTTCGATATGACGATCCAAATTAGTGACTTTGACCCTTTCTCGAACTCCTGCCGTCGCCGACTCTCCTCGGAAGACGGGGTAATGTCCGCACAGAGTGAAGATCTCCATGCTAGAACTGGGCCAAATTCGCCGAGTTCATCGTCGGAGGCTGATCATCAAGACTCTTCTCGGCTCGGTATGAGTAAGAGCCATCCGTTGTTGTTTGGCGAGGATCTCCACCTAGCTGCGCCCTCTCAAGGACGAGAGCCGTCAACGCCACCAATAGCAAGAAGTGGTGAAGAAACGGAGTTTCCGCTCCGGCGAGGCAGCACGACCGTGCAGCCGGCGTTGCTGTCGTCGCAGACATCGGCAGAGGATGAACTTCGAAGCGGAGGTTCGCCAGAAAATAAGAGTATCAACATCGTGTACGCAGCAGACGAGGAGTACGACGAGAATTATCTGAAAGACGCAAAATTCGACAGCCGACTGACCGTTCTTCCCTTCGCGTCGCCGCCGGCAACACTTTTCACCGATGACGACCGAAGTTCCTCTCATTCTTCACACGAAAAGCCAGGAGCCAGTGGAACTAGCACCAGTCGGAGAAGCTCTGTTGCCGGCGTAGCAAATGTGGTTTCCCGGAGGCGGCAGATAGCCTCGTGCGAGGCAGAGGAGAGTGGAAGAGCGGAAAGTGTAATCATAGGCGAAGCTGCGTCCTCGTCCAGTCAAAACACGATGAACATCAGGCCGGTGGTGCCGGAAAAAAATGCCACGCTAGAAGAGCCCTCCAATGTCACGGGAACAGAAAATTGCGACGAAATAAAGGCAGAAGCGAACAGCTACGAAGACGGGCCTCTAGAGAGACAAATAGAAGATGTTGATGACCGGGAGTGTAAAGTGCTTGCCGGAACCGCGGTGCAAAAGAAGTACTTGCAAGTGCCGGGGATAGAAGTAAGCGCGGCGGGGTACGGTAAGAATAAGAAAGCGAAGCCGAAAGCGCTCCCGCCTGTAGGCGAGGATGGTTCTTCCACTGGCAAAGGGAAAGAAAAAATAAAATTTGGTCGCACGTGCCAGCTGCTTGGATCAGCACCAGCAGGAAATTCGCGAGAAGTAGGAAAGACTGACCAAACAGCAGCTCGTGGCGAAGACGAGATACACGGAACTACAACACATCAGAAGGAGAATATCAAAAGCAACGCCGCTATTGCCAGCAAGCCACCAGAGCGCCAGCGGTTGCACTACAAGTTGCGAAAAGTACCGTGTTCTGCCCCAGATTTCGGCAAGGAAATCGACATCGTGTGCAACGGGTTGGGGACAACCTACGACGACGGGGCCGCCTGGCAGGCCGCCGCGCTCCCCTTGCGGATCTTCAACGGGGTGTCCTTTCTCCTGCTGCTCGCCTACATTGTGCTGACCATTCAATCCTTGCTGCGTGCCTATTTCTGCGACGACGACCAGAAACTTATCGCCTTGAGAAACGAAAGGTCGGCGGACAAAATCTTGGAACAGGTCAGCAACTTCCGCGTGGAAGACTTCTACGAGGTAAAGTTGCTGCACGAAGAAGACGAATGCGACGCTTCGCAGGAGTTGCAACATCAGAGATATAGTGACGGAACTAGTACAGGTTCTTTCTTATTTTCCTCTGATGTACAAGACGCATCACGATCAAGATCAGCATCGTCTCAGGAACAGCAGCTGCACAATATGAAAAAGCCGGCGACAAAAGCGGAGAAATACGTGATCGAGCTTTTAAAACGGATCGATCAGTCCGGCAGCAACGTGGTTTACTTCACCAACGCGCCCGTTTCCCCCCACTCGCCTCGCTTCGGCGAGCACGAGGAGCACAGGAGCAAGAGCAAGAGCAAGAGCGGGCGGTTTTTTATGCAACGGAGGAAAAGCTTGTCAAATCTGTTCGGCGCGCCGGGGATCTCGTCTAGTAGTACTTTGATGAAAACCACCTACCAAGACCAGAACCCGAGCGCCTCTGTTCCTGGTGGGGTGTTGTCCCCTTTCGAAAACAGCACGCCGCAGTCCACGCCAGACACGACACCCTTCTCGTCGCCGGCCCTGGGCAGGTTCGGCGGGATGGGTGGGAGGGACCACTCTGCAGGCGCCACCGGAGCAGAAGGTCCGAAAGAGGCTCCGAACCTGCAGTATCGCCAGGTACTGCGAAATCTTCACCTGAGAAATACTAACTCCGTGGGCGAGGATTTATCCGAACCAAGGCCGCCACGACAAGAGGCCATTTATGCAGCTCAGCAGGCAACGCTACCGCCTCTTCCAGTCGTCCAACCGCAAAATAGTAATTATCACAAACCCTCCCTCCGGTTTTTCGCGGAAGGGTTGCACAGCGGGGTGTTCCGCCACGTGGCTTGCCGAGCGGAGTGCGGCCGCATGGTCTTAGCAACGGCCTTCTCCGTGTACTTCCCCGAGGAGAGCGATATTGACGCTGTGAGCCGGCAGACGAACTTGCAGAAGCACAAGAGCTGCGAATTTTTCGGCAAGGAGATCGTGTCCATCTCGTTGGAGAAGACTTCCTGCGACGTTTTAGTTCTGTTCGCCAACGGGAGCATTGCGAGGTGCAGGAGTAACACGGCGGGGGACGATCATGCCACCGGGAGGTCAACGTCTTCCTTTTCCAGCAAAACCACGAAAGTGGAGTTCGCCGGGGGCGGGTTGCGGCGGGCGGAAAAGCGCGCCGAGGCGCTGCTGCCGTTCCCCGGGCATCTTTACAGTCACGGCGGTCGTGCAGCTGGGGACGGGCAGGTGGGTGCTGGAAGTAGCTGGAGCACAAGACCCTACGACCATGATATGCTGATGGCAGTGAAGACAAAGCAAAATAACGAGGGGCTGTTGCTGTGGCTGTCGCAGCACCAAACCAAACCAAAGGTAAGACCACCAGCAGGAGCAGCTGCGCCACACGGGCCGCCCTCTTCTGCGAAAAATGTGAGAACAGCACAGGGGCAGGAACAAGATCTTCAGACTGCTGCAGCAGCTCCTGCCTCGGATCATCCAAACAGTTCTACTTCGTCCTCAACTGCTAGTAATCTGTCGAGAAGACGCGACGTACTACTGCCACACGAGCTGCTGAGAAGAAGAGACGGGAACAGCACGGAAGAAGTAGAGCAGGAACAACTTCTACAACAAGTATCTGCTGCAAGAAGGCGCAGCAGTCCCCAGGAAGAAATATTGAATTCCCCCAACGACGACCCACCAGGAAAAGTCTACTACAAGCCGAAGTCGCGATTTCTTTCCCTCCCGCTCACTTTTGAGGAGACCAAGCTTCCGTTACGGGAGATAAAGTTCGGGATTTTTGCCGGCCAGGACCGGATGCTGTGGCACGACAAGTCCAGGAGAACCTACGTGTTCGGAAGGGAGAGAAATGAAGTCGAGGAGGATGTTGGCTCTGCGAGCAGCGCTGTAAGAACGTTTCAGCAAACGGATTTCAAACTTCTGACTACAATTCATCATCCCGAGTGGCGGTCGGCCTGTTCCCTGTCAGAGGACCGGTTTCTGCTCTTACGCGTCGGCGCGCTCGAAGTGATGCGGCGGAATTGATGGGAGAAGTGAATGATTGAAGATGAAGAAATATTAAAGCAGCTGGGAAAAGTAAAAACTCAAGGGGAAAGTGTACATAGAAAATTGCTCTGCTTTTTCAAATGCATGCGCAAGTAGTCATGTGCCTTCGCTTGCTTTTACGACCTCAAGATTCGTGATACGAATTCGAATACCACATGCAACGACCATTTTTTTTTGCGAGGTACCAATAGACAAAACCACATTTATCCACATCTATACGTAGAACTCAAGTGCGACAACCACAACTCGATAGAACCTTTTTTTGCAATAGATTCAACGATTTTATCTCTGCTTCTAGGGAATACCAGAAAGATTTACACAACTGACAGGCTGTACACCTGATCACTTGATGACAAATTGCAGGCGAGTAGAATGATTTGCATATGGGAATATTCAAGAACGCAAGCGGCCAAAAATTGTACTTTTTTGCCAAAAATTTGGAATTGCAAACTTTGAATTTTGGAAGACATCAACAGCAGTAAGTACTTGTGGAGAATGCTAGAATACACAGACACTCCGATTACAGATATAATGAACGCGCCACTTGTCGTGTATGTACACGAGAACATTTTTTCAACAACAAAGCGACATAGAACGAACGAAGTCGAAGAACGCCACAAAATTGGGTGAGAGTCGCCCAGGCAGCGACTGCAGCCTGCGGTTTGTGGGAAAGAGGTTACGAGGCGAGGCAGGCGATTGAGGTGTTCAGGAAAATCCTGCTGAGCCAATTGTTCCTAGTTTGACGCACGCTTGCGCACTACTCAACGACATCAGAACATTATCTTGCGATAAAAATATGCATCGAAGAACATCAAGTACAATCTAGCGAGATGAAACTACCCAGCAAGTCATCAATTTGCGCACGTGTAATACTGCAGAAACTTTGGACCAGTAGGGACGTACAAACTTCCATCCCGGTTGTTGTAAAACTTGCGATGCAGAAAGATGTAGTTGGCACTACTAGTCTTCTTGCAACACAACCTACTTAGAAGGCGCGCGCACAGCAACTGTTCCATGTCATGACCGGTGCGGCTTGGAGACATATTTTTTGCTTCCGCCACCGCGAAGATCTGATCGTACTTCTGATCTTTGGAGCCCGCGTCATGTATAGCCATATAGATTTTATTGACAAGCCACGGTGCGTGAAACATAGAAAGACCTCCTCCTCCAAGAAACACACAGCAACAAGCCCTCAATTGTGGCTTCTCAAGGACATACATCAGAAATCAAATCTTCTCTAAGTACACCATCGACGGAAGTAGACGTAATAGCTAGTAGCGACGTGGAAAGATTAACACCATCTAGTAGCAGCATCCCGACAATACTTAACTACTAGGCCACAGACATTTGCATTTCTTGCGAAGTTCTTGGCGGCACAAACACAAAGCAACGTTTTAGTCGTGAGCAGATGAACAATTGAAGATACTGTAGGCCACGTGGCGATATGGTTGTTCGTTCTTTATTCTCATCTTCGGCGAAGAAATTTCCACTTCGCAATTGACAATTTTTTCTTGTCCAACTCCGGCATCGAAGATCTTGGCGGCACCGAAAGTCCCTGACTTTCTTGGGCGATGAAAGCGGAGTAACTACACGCACAACCACGTTGATAGAAGAAGTACCAGCGTCGTGTGCCTGTCGTTCTTCTTACACATCCTTCATCAAATAATTTGGTTTGCTGACCAGCGTCGGGAGCGGGGCCAGGCACCGGCACCGACGTGGTAGTGTGACGGCCTATTTTGATATCCTCGGAGCAAAAATTGCACCGTCTTCATATATACTACGCCAGGTAGTAAGTAGAGGAATCCTTTAGAAGCACCACACATCAACAATTTTCAGCGCCAGGGCTCCGCCTCGCGGCTTCAAGTGCTGTTGCGTGAAAAACAGCGAACTTGCTCGTGCTGTGACGAGACCATGGCCGCGAGAGAAGAAGTCCCGGATACTTCGCTTTCCGGCGACGGAGGGGGGGATGGCGAACGTGAGCAGGAAGGCGAACGCGGCGAGGACCAAGAGATGCCTCCGGCGGAAGGGGATCAGCAAGAACTACATGCGGGAATAGCGCCGCAACAGGACGGCCCCAATCGAAGTTGGATCGACAACACGTGTCTCCTCGATGCCTCTGATGGTACAAGTTTTTTACACTAAAATTCCTTACCGCGTTGCTTTCAGAACTCTGATGTGTGCATGTTTGCTTTTGATACTTATGCATGCGTTGTACTTGCGCACGTGGCATTAAACGTACTTCGAAATGCTCACGAAAATTGAAAGAATTTTCCACGACTTTGACAGACGAAGATGAAGAGTCCGCTGCTTGCGGTCCAGGGGGAGAGGAAAACGGTAAGGATGCGAAGAACCCTGATCTTGGTAGAACTGTAGTCAAGCAGGAGGACAAAAACAGCGACGATAAAACTATTGGCAATGTTGAAAATGCTGAAAAGAACAACGCGAGTAGTAGTTGTCCGCACTTGATTTCTTCCACCACGGTGGAGCAGGAAGACGCCCCGCCGCAGCTGTACCTGCCCCAAGTGACGGACTTCCTTGAGAATCGTGCGTCTGGAGATGGTTCTTGTCCGAGCCGGGGGGAAATCGTGCTGAACCAGGGTCGTGGTGGTGCAACCGCAAATGGCAGCAATTCCTTGTACTACTCCACTAACGCGCAGCAAACCTCTTTCCTGCAAACCCCGGCCCTGGGTGTGGTCGAGCCGATGTCGCCACCGGACGACGCAATGAATGGGTTGGGCGGGGGTACTAGCAGTAAAAATCTGAAGGAAAACTACGAACTTTCCACTCCGAACGGAAGCCCGAACAGCTCCATTTCATCTTTCAGCGGTAAGAATAAAGTTCAGCATGATGAGCGGGGTCATCGGCAGCAAAAATTCAATGCCGCTTCGAGCGCCGGGAACAAACAAGGTGGCGGCGAAGACAAAAACGATCATAGCGGGAGATCCTCGAGTAGTTCATCCGGTAGCGATGAAGAAAGTTCCTCACGGTCGTCGTCATCCGGTTCGCGACGAAGTAGAGGATCCTCGTCATCGAGTTCGTCAGTTAGTAAGGGGAAAAAGGAGAAAAAGCGGCGGCGGAAGAGCAAGAGCAGTGCGTCATCCAAGTCTTCTTCGTCCAGTCGGAGTTCCTCCTCGCAGAAGTCCCCCTCCAAGGATCCCCGTGCCAAGAAATCCGCCACGATTTGTTCCAAGCGGGACAAGAAACGAGACCGGAAAGAAAAGGAGCGGAAGAACAATAATAAAGCCTCTACAACTCATGGTACCGCGAGCGGCAGAAACCGCCACAACAAGCGGAATAAGAAGGAGAAAAAGAAAAAGAACAAGAAGCGAAAAAAGTCTTCTTCCTCTTCGGGTTCCTCCTCCTCGAGAAATAGAAACGGCGGACGGCGGAATAAAAGTTGCAGTACTGCGGCGATTCACTTTGGAGGTGGTGCCTACAGTTCACGTGGCGAAGATCTTCACGATCGGGGGCGCAACAAGCGGAGCCGCGAGAGCCGAGACCGTGCGGGTGGGCCGCGGCGAGGGAACATCAACTCGTGCAGGTATGATAATTATGACAAAAGTTCTTACCACGAGCGTCGTGACCGTGAGCACGACCGCTACAACCGCCGGGGCGAGGCGACACAGCGGCGGCTGGGCCGCGTCGGCGGCACGAATTACCCGCCAGACGATGATTTTTACAGAAGTAGAATGCAGCAGGGCGCCTCCTCGCGGGGACATGGTGAGAGCGAGCGGTATCCGTCCAGGCGAGGCAGCATGGATGTGGATTATCGTGGCGGTGGTGGCGGAGCAGGAGGGCAACAACAGCACGTCGTGAACAGCAGCATCAGAACGCAATTAGATCACCCGCGCGACCTGCTCTTCAGTAACAAAAACAACGCTACGGTGTCATTAACGAGCAGGAGCGGCGGGGTCGCGTCTACCTCCTCTTTGATGCGCCGGAATGTTAATATGAGTGCGGACATGTCCTCCTATCAGGCGTTTTCATCAGGAGCCGGACATGATTTTGCTCCGGATCATAATTTGGTGGGCGGAAAAGCCACAAAGATGTCAAAGACCAAAGACAGTTCGGTTCTTTTGGAAAACATTCTCTCGAAGAACGGGATCGCGGGGAACCACGATAGAGTCGGAGCAAATCCACAAGTGCAGGGTGGACTACCCGGGCAACGAAACCCGAGTTGCCGCGACAGCTCGAATTGCTCACCCAGAAAGGCGGGTAAAAGAAATAAAAAAGGCAAAAAGGGGCTTGCACAAGCGGGCTCAATGATGTCTACAGGTGGGAATATGACACTACTAGGTGTAGTGCCGCAGAACAACAGCGTTCGTGGCGGAGTTAGCGGAAACATTCAACCGTATTCGGGGATGAATGAAGCTGCCACGGCCGCCCCGAAGCGAGGGACATTGGTGCCGCTCAGTCATGGAGCGGCAAAGGCTGCCGCGGCGCGGGGAACAGGTGCAGCTCAAATGTTGTTGAATACGCGGAAAAACACCTCCATCAATGGGAGCCTGAATAAACAGCGAAGTCGCGGTCAGGGAAACAATAAAGCTGGGCGGCGGTTGTCGGAGGTGAACAGGAACGAGGACAGCAGTTGCCACTTGTCTTCGCCGAACTTCAATAATGAGGAAGACCAGGAACAACTCTTCCCGGCGGGGAGCAGAGACACAACGACTGTCAACAACGCGCGGAAAGCGAGTAAAGACCTGGAAGAACCGCCAGCGCAGCTGTCGGAAGAGTGTAAGAAGAATATCGAAGAAAGATGTAAGGAGATCCGGGAAAAGGATAACATTTCGTCGTCGGACGAGGACGTCGAGAAGAGCGGCGGCCTGCTGGAGAAAAAAGTAAAAGAAGAGAAGGAAAATAACGTCGCCCCTGCGGTGGTGACACAAAAAACTTCGCCCGACGAGCAGAAGGACTCCGAAGGTACAACAGTTACTAAGAAAAGCCTCAATGGCGGCGCCGCCGCCGTGGACGAGGAGCAGGATGATGTGATCCTGGACCACGGCGCGCAGCAGGGAAGCAGCGGAAGTGACGAAAATACCAAGCTCCAAGGCGTCAAGGTCATCGAGAGAGGAGACGACGTGCACCTTGCTGACGTAGAAATGAAAGACGCGGAAACTATGAAAGGCGAAGAACAGCAAGACGAAGCTGAAATCAAGAGCAGGAGTAAGACAGATTCAGCCAAAGAACTGTGTCCTGGCACCTGGCAGGGAAAGAATGGCGACGGAGGTGTCGTAGTTGACATGGGCAATGATCTCTCGTCGGACAACGAAGCGGCCGCATCCGATTTCAACAGCAACGCCTCCGCTTGGGACCACGTGTTGTCACCGAGCAAGGGGGAAAATTTCGTGCAGGATAGCACGGTCGTGGTGGAAGAAAACGATAACGATGTCGAAACAAATAGCGCTGCAGTAAGTAGCACCGCGGCCACGGGGATTGCGATGCTGCCGAAGGAAGTGGTGGCGGAGGTACTTAAGGCATAAGCATAAAAGTAAGTACTTTTGGAATGAGACGAAATAGCGCTCGTCCGCTGATTCTCGTTGGTATGGTGCACATGAATAAATTTCGCCTTTTTGATATGCACTTTGTATCTATGATGTTATCTTCGGAAAAAAAATTGTGAAAAAATAAAACGCTGGCAGGTTGAAGGAAGAAGGCTGACCCATTTGAACATAGGAAAGGAGCAGCTGTTGAAGAAGAGAGAAACCACCCGACAGCAGAAACTCGCGGAGCAGCGGGCGAAGTTTGATCAGCAGAGGGATCTCCGGACCCGGAATATGCATTGCAGGAGTATTGTACTGGTAGTGATTGCATTACAATTTTTTTCGAAAAATGGAGTTTGTCATGCTGGAATAATACGTATTAAACAAAGACACCTGTGGTCGTGCAAGATTGCGATTATAACAAGGGCGATACTTCTTTTGCACAGGATACGGAAAGCGCAGCAGCAGAAGGAACGGTTCGAGCAGCAGCGGAAGCAGCAGCAGAACGTATCATAAGGAAAAATCCCCCCTCCCCATATCGAAACGAAGTTTCTGATGCTGGATTTCCGTACACGCATCAGATTTGTCTTGCAGTAGAGGACTGCAGGCATATGTCAAGCCTCAGTCGCGAGGTTTTGACGTAGGCGCCTAGCATGGCAAACGTGTATGCTCTAAGCCCAACAGCATCACAAACCGCATGCGAAATGCGGGGCGCTCTCTGGACTTGCCTTCTTGCAAGACAGACAGGATTTGAGGTAACAAATGCGCATCACAAATTTTCAGACGGATACGTTTTCAATATGGGGAGGGGGGATTTTTCCTTACGATAGAACGCGCAGCAGCATCAGGATTCGTTAGAGCAGGAAAGCCACGAGCCGGCGATTCCCCTACCCTCCTGCGTCGCGAACTCGATCGCGCAACCAATGATGATGCAAAACGAGGACGACGATCGTGGGAGGCAAGTAAACCGGAAAAATGCCAAGAAGAACACGGCCTACAAGCCCACTAGTGGGTATTTCGGGGGCCTTGCCGGGGTCAGGAAGGACAGCAGAGATAACAGCGAGTTGTTTGTTGATAATGCTTCGCACAGGAACGGACCGTACAGCAGTCACGGAGCAGGCGGGGGACGCGATGATGACTCCAATATGCTGCGAGACCGCGGCGCTGCGCAGAATCACGGTCGCGGATATGGGAAACATCGGCGCCGCCGAAGATCGCGGTCGAAGGAGCGCAACAACAATTGGTCGACGTTCTTTGGCAATACTGCAGGCCCTGGCAGTTCTTCGAGCTCCGTGGCGGGGAACAATGTGGGCGGGGGCGGCGGTTGTAATGCGCACCCACTTCACCCGCCTTCGGATCTGTTTCAAGAACAGAACGACGACCGCAACGTTGGCCAAGGAGGAGGAAGCCGTTGGTTGAAAAAGGGCGTTTACTCCGAGCGGATTCGCGGCCGGACCAAATCGAAGCAGAAGCAAAGGAGCAGAGAACAGGCTCAGCGGAGCAGAGAACAGCACGGGAAGAGGAACAACGCGGCTGGTTCGCACAGCAACTACGGGCAGTACGGTGCTTACAAGAACTCTTACAACGAACAGGACTACTATAACAACCAGTACGAGTACGAAGTGGACGAAAACGGCCGGCGCATCGATCCGCACGCTGCACAAGGAGAAAGGGCAGCTGCCTTGATCCACCAACGCAGTGGAGAGAATAATAATAATGCTACTTCTACTTCTTTATCTTTCCCCATGCCCAAGAAATCGGGACGGTTGGTTTCCAAAGACGGCGAGTTTGAGGTCGACGACGAGATGCATGGCGGGACCGGAACTGGTTCTAACGGGGGCGAAAATTATGTGAAACAAGCAGGCGACCACCTGAACGAGGGGAAAGCGCTGTACCCAATCAAGGGCGCGGTGTTGCAGCCCTGGAACGTATTGCTGAATACGGACGGGAAGCGGGAGGAATACGCGGAAAGGCAGCAACAGATCAAGGCGAGCAAGGCTACTGCTGCTTGGCATCAGGAAGATGCTGAGGACGACGACTGGGACGATTGGTGGACCTGGACGGAGACCATACCTGTGCGGACGGTGCGGACGGACGGACAGACGATGACCATGATCAAAGGAGTAGCACATCCTGATCCGGACATACTAAATGATAATCAGCCCAAGAATAACATCCTGAATACTAAAAAGCACCAGCCTCCGGCGTGGCAAGGAGGAAAAGTCGCCAGAGTGGGAACAACAGGGGAAGCTGCCGCGTCAGCGAATGGAGACGCGGCCAGCAGTAGTTCTAGCGCGTCATCCTCCTCGGCTGCGAATGTGGTGACGACGATCCCAGAAAATAGTAACCCGCCCCCCGACGCGCCGGAAGCTCAAGCTGATGCAACTCAGTACTCGGAATTTTACTGCTTTATTGTCTAGCTGCGTCGACCACGACTTGGTAATTTGCTTTAATATCACCGATACAGCAAATAGCAAGTTGTGGAATTATACGAAACGCCACGGAAGTGTGCTGAGCGTCAGATGTTGGCAGAAAAGGAATAAAAATAGAGAGAGATGAGTCTGCCAAATACGAGTTAGCTGCAGCTACGTAAAAACTCTTCGTAATGTTTCAAAAATATTCCTTACTTTCGCTTCATTTTTTATAGAACACGCACTATTTCATAACAGGGCGACTCCGAGTGAGGACCCGGAAGAACAGAGCAGACGGCTGGAAAGCCATGTCGTGCATGGCAGACAAGTCGAGATCGACCACTTTTATGCATTGCAGTTCGATGCCAGCACATCATCCGTTTGGTTCTGTCAGTGTAGTGCCCGTGTGAAGTAGCTCTTTTTGATGTGCGAGCTCATTCACTTTCGGGTGCTTTCGTGACGGTATCTGTAGGGTATAGATTGCTAACTGAATTTGCGTTCCTCCTCATGTATCCCACAAATCAATGGAGAAAAAGCATCAGATGGATGCGCAACTGGATGTTGAGCTGGCATTTTGCTGCAGGATATTATCAAGAGCAGTACTATGAACTGCAAATATCGAAGATCGGATCGCTAGCTGGTGTAGAACAACGTCCGAACAACATAAGTACACAAATTTTCGAAACGGCAAAAATGTTCCACTAGCTACAGTTCCACCGAACGAAAACACTCTGTCATGCGGGAGCAGCAAGAGCGGCTTTCTATGTTACTTACCAGTTTCGCGGAAAGGCCGGGAGGACCGCCATACGAAGAAGAGAGTCAGGTCCTTGGCTCTGCAGTGTAGTGCCAAGCTGATTTCTGGTGTGCATTTTTTCGGGTCCTTGCGGTCCTCCTCGATTTAATGTCATCTGTGCATGAAGAAGAAGAACACAAATCATTTTCGGGGTTCCATTCCGCCCAGCCGAGACACATCTTTGATATTTGCAGCAGTCGATAACAGCACCGTATAAGCGTCGGAGGAAAATTCGCAGGGCAATACGTCATCAAGAACCGTTCTCACCAGGAGAGTACTGTTTGTGTTTTGTCTTTCATCGCGCAAAGGTCGCAAACTCCAGGCTCAGAAGTTCTATCCTGGGTGAGAGATCGTTATTTTAGGTGGATACAAAATCAGAACTATCAACATCGATCGATTGGTAGAACGGTAAGTCTTCCCAGTCCCTAGATGTTAGAAGTATTTCCTCTAGTACAATTGAACAATCTATCAGGCTCCCCGAACCACCGCCGGACACCCCGCGGGCAGATAAGTTCAGGACGCGGAAGCAGTGGCAGCAGGAAATGGTGGCCTGGAGAGACCAAACCATTGCGTACATCGATCGGTTCGAATTTGAGGGGGACCAACTTGAGTCCGATGGGACCTCCTCCGAGGAAGACGGGGAGATGCGATCCCATACCGGAAGCACCAAGGTGCAGGGCAGCGACGTCGACGAGGGACCCGCGCCGGGAAGTTCGATCCATGGGGGATCGGGCGTTGAGACCGGTTCCCTGGCGGGCGAGGATGTCGTGAGCATGATGGATCAAAACCTCAACAACAACTTCCAGGAAGTTGTTGACAAAAAACCTCCACACGATCACGGCCAGGACCACCACACGACGACGACCGAAGGAGGAGCAGCTGTTCCACCTGGTGCGGACGAAAATAGTACCTACAACCGAGGCCACGTTGAGAACAACGATTCGGGGCGCGCAGTTCAACACCAGCCGTCGAGCTCTTCTTCGCAAAGTCCTCAACCTCAGCTAGAACAAATCACCAGCACTGCAGCTCGAAAAAACAGCAAGAGCGAAATTCTCCCGCCCCCGAGTGGAGCTGGTCCGGCAGCGGGGTCGTTCTTTGTAGGGCAGCGTCAACATGATGCGTTTACGTCAGGAGTGAAAAAGAACCGCGCGGCTTCTAGCAGCAGTGTTACTTCTACCAGTAGCTTCGCCCAGCAGCAGTGGCTGAGGGAGCAGCAGCAATTCCAGCAGCCGCCGCACGGCGGTGGTTTACTATTTCAGCATTCGGGCGGGTCGTCGAGGGTGAATTCTGTGAGCAGTGACCGTCCGCGACCTGGGGAGCGAAAGAATTCGAAAGTCCTGCCGCCGCCACAGAGAACGAAAAGCGGCTCTCTGGAATTGAGTCGCTCGTCGTCCCAAAGGATGATGTCAAGGGCCAACTATCAAAATGAAAAATCCGCCCACCCCATATTCAAACTAGAAATTTGTGATGCAGATTTGTGGTCACAAATCAGCTTTGTCATGCTAGACAGGAAAAGATGCGGACTGTAGTGCTGGTTGGCGTGGGGAAACCTTGCATCTTCAGCATGAAAGGGGGCAGCTGGAAGTGGGAAACAGCATTACAAATTGCCTGCAAACGAGGCCGCCGCTGCGTCTCTTGGCCTCCTAGCATTACAAGTCGATTTGTGTACTCAAATACAGCTTCACAAATTTCGTTTTCGATATGGGGAGGGGGGATTTTTCCTCCTGATACCAACAACAGTAGCAACATGATGGGCCACAAAACACGAGGTCACGACAAAAATCTTCCACAAAACACACAGTTTTCAACATCGGACGAAGGTAAAGTTTCCCGTGCGCAGGATTATATTGCGGCCGCGGACACCACACGGAGGCTGGACGAACAGAGTCGCGACCATCTGCTGGCGGTGCGGGCCAACGAGGAGCGGAAGCGGCAAATGCAGGAGCAGGGGCTGATTCAGGAGCGGGAAAAGCGCGTGGGCGCGATGAGTGCCATTGAGAATGTCGGGAAGGATATCATGGGTTGGGACGCGAACTTCGGCGGCGAGGATGCTGCTGCGGCACGGCAGGCGGACGAGTTGCTGGGGACGGTAGACACCGGCCTAGGTTGTAGTGGTGGTTCCGGCATTAACGGGTCGGCTTCATCCGCCTGCTTGTCTTCTGGTAGTAGCGGGATTATCCCGCCCGGGCAGCAGTGCAGCTGGGAGGAGGTGCAAGAGGAATTTCACCCCTTGTACCAAAAGCCAGATTACAAGAACAAGATTGACGATCTTCTCGACGGAGGCGGGAACGCACGCGTCCGGAACGCCATTTATGCGTCGCAAATTAGCGCCCTGGTGGAAGAGTCAGTATTTGGCATATGCCCATGGTCATGACTTCTGTGATGCATGCCCTAGCATCACAGATTTGTGGAGGGCTGCTTGATGCCTTCCCCGCATCAGAAATGCCCGCTCCGCGTAGCACAACCACCAAGTGGACTCTTTTTGCTGGTTATGCAATGCAGCTCTTTATTATTCCCAAACTCGACTGATCCTTCCAGACCCAGACACGTTTGCAATGCATACCATTGTGCCGAGTACGATCCCCGGCTTGGAAACGCATATTCCCGGCATGGAAATTTCAGAAGAGAAAAGCACTGAAGAAGCTGGTAATAACTGTGCAGTGGACCTTTACCAGGGACAAGTAAGCAGCGATCGGATTGCCGGGATTATCCTATGTAAAAACGTCCCCACACCATAGTTGTAATGCAGATTTGCAAAGACAGGAAGACTTGTAATGCGCATCCGCATGAGAGCCATTTTCAATCGTGTTTTGGAATTTGTGATGCTGTGAACAGGATGAGCAGATGAATCTGTGACGCGGCTGCACTTGCTAACCTGCACTACACTGCAGAGTGCAACTCGTCATGCGTGACTCACAAAACTCCTAGGTTTGTGTTGCAAAATCCCCTTCCTGACTCTGGTGTGGGTACGTTTTTACTCAGGATAGCAATGGTGCTGGCAGGAGCAACTTCTAGCAGTACTACAGACTCTACGATCTTGGGCATGCCTTCCCGTCAACAGCAGGAGCATCTGCAAAACGGGAACGATGGTATTGAGTCTTTCTTGAGCAACTTCGACCAGTTCGCCCCAGCAGCCGGTGTACCGGATAATATGCAGCAACAGCGAGAGCATTTGCCCGCAATGGCGGTGAACGCGGTCGTGCCAACGCCCGTGCGCTCGAACATGAGGAACAACGCCATCGGCTCAGTTTTGAATCAGGCGATGATATGAAGAAAGCCATATGCAGGCGAGTGCAGGCAAGTGGTCCTTCTATTATTTGTTCTTTTTTGTGTATACACACACTTGACATAATGTGAAGAGGACCACCGAATTTTCCGTTCTTTACCACCTCATGGAAGTCGTCCTTCATATCAACATTTTTGTGCTACACGACAACTGCCTGACACTGCCTTTAGCTCGTGATGCGCACCTTCTGAGTTTTTAGTTCTTTATTAGTACCAAATAGAACTCATGAAGGGCGCTGGACTACTTTTGCTTCATGAAATAGTGAATAGTGAATATTAAATTCTCATTTTGGATCTTATTGTTATCTTCGATAAGTATAAGTGATGTGTGACCTCGATATGCGGTCCGGAGACCAACAAGATACGAACGCAGAGGCGCGCCTTCGTGTCTGTTTCTGTTTCTGTGCATGAGTGCTTACGACGAGCCAAAAGAGCTGATTGAAGGTCGTAGTTCTGGTTTTGTTTTTGCAAAAATCGACTGCAGCCGCGGATAAGTACATAGGATCGTTCTGTGTTGATAGGCAGACAGAACTGGTGACTCACGGAAACTCACTGATAGGCACAGCTTTAGGACCTGGAATTGGTTTGCAGGATCGACTGATCAATTTATCTTGACTCATATACATCTTACAGCTTGCTGTCATTTTTTTCTTGTTCCGACGTGCTTTAATGAAGTACTTACTTTGTTGGAATTCTTGTTCAATTTTTCTGGCATTACTATCGCTGCTAAAGGTTTACTGAAGTCAACATCTAGAATTCGAACTCACTGGATCTGAGCCCAATAGTGAAGCCCTTTTCTTGTCCTCTGCCGATAAAATTCCTTGTTCTGCTTTTGCGAGCAGTGCTGAAAAAGCATTTGTTCACACCAGCAACAGAAAACAAAATGATAACCCGACATATTTTATTTGCCAAGTTTTCTCTCCTGCTCACTACCCTGACCGGTTGGGATTTGCGGTTCTGCGAAGGCTCAGCGACGACCCCGTTTCTTCCGAAGAATACGAGACAGGACTACAACAACAGCATCGACGCAAATGCGGCTTCGAGTACGAGCTCTACTTGGATCGACGCTCGGAACAAAACTACTCCAGATACGATCACGGCTGCGGATTTTCTGCAGTTCCAAAGAAGGCGATCCTGTGCGCGCGGGACCGCGACGCTTGTGTGCGCTTTCAATTTCTGTTTTGCACTCAGCTGGTTTTCAGGGAGTGGCTCAACTTCGGTGAGGAATTATAGCCATGGTCTTGTTCCACATGGAGGTTCATCTATGCAGACGCAAATGCTCGCGGTGCACAAGAAAGCAAGGCCGCAACTCAGGACGTTCGATGACACGGCTGCGCTGCAGGAGAGCATTTACACGTTCAACGACACCGCGCTGGACCAACATGTCGCCGAGTATCAAATGCAAAAATGTCTGGGTCTGGAAGAGTTGGAACTTGTGATGCAAACTCTGGAAGACGCAAAACCTTGTGTTGCATGAGCGCCAAAAGCTGTCCATTTCTTGGTCCGCAAGTAGGAAGCTTCTCATGCAGGACAGGCATCATGAGGCGTGCTCAAAACCTGTGATGCTTTTGCCTGCATCAGACGCTATTTGCGTGATCCGAAATATGCATGACAAATCTCGTAATCTGGCAGACCCAGACATTTTTACATTTGATACCGAACCAGGAGAATCAATTTCGAGGTTCAACGCGGAAGGACTGCAGACCGGGTGGCGCTCCGAGTCGCTTCTACCTACATTCAGTCCTCCTTTTGGAATGAACATGAAGTCCGCTAGTGTAGGAGTTCCAGGAAGTAGAGCAGGGCCTCCTTCGACATACACAGGAGCTTCTGCGGAGGATCACATAGGTGTTCCGCTGCCGTCCGCTCCCAGGGACGAGTCCCCCGGCGGTTTTCCTTCCTCCAGCAGATCGTTGCTGGACCACCAGCAGACCACCACCACGCAGGATCTTGAGCTCGGTCGTTTTGACTTCGAGCAGCGTTTCGGGAAGGAGGAGCTGAAAAGGAGCGTCGTGAACAAAAGCGCACTGAAACGCAACGTGGTGGGCGACACGTACTCGAAGGAAGAAGAGCAGGGGTACGGCAAGGCGGCGCTCCACGCAGCGACACCCTGGGCAGTTGTGCCTTTTCCTGTCGTGCAGCCGCTGGGCGGGCCGATATCGGCTTCTGGGGTTGACTTTTTGCGACGGGGAGCGAGTTGGGACACAGAAGTGAGTCAGCAGGACAAGATTAGCTCTGACCCGCGAAGAACGGCGGAGAAGGGAACAAAGCAAGTCCGAGTTCCTCTTTCTTCTTCTGTGTCTTCCCCAGCCCCGGACGGGAAAGATCAAGTTGGAAGAGGTGTTGACGCGGAAAAGAAAACCACTCCGAGCGGAGACGACCCAAGAGCAGGCCAGGCACTCTACAAAACGAAGCACGGGGCGATGTACGGCAACGTAAAGGAGTTCGAGGGCACCGTCGTGCACGAATTTTTAGGCATTCCCTACGCGAAGCCGCCGGTCGGAGAACTGCGGTTCAAAAGCCCGCAGGATGTGGAGTCGTGGTAAAATAAGTAGATGAGAACACTTTTTTTCTGCATGGCATGGAAATCAGAAATAATAACTGAAGCCACTTTCCTAAAAGGTTATTTGAAAAATTCAGAAGACCCATCAACATCGACAGGTCTCCTCGGATTCTGGACGCGACGCAGCAAAGATTTTACTGTCCGCAGAAGCCTGTCGAGTACATTCCGAAAAGGCAGCAAAGCGAAGACTGTCTTACCCTTTCTGTCTGGGTGCCACAACAGATTCCTGAACAAGATAAAGCTGGTGGTGGTGCCCGGGAATCAACGACGAAAAGAACAACCACAGGAAATAGAATAGCGTCGAGGAACGAGCCCAAGCGTAAAAATATTACTAAAAACAAGCTTCCCATTCTCGTCTGGATCCACGGGGGCTCGTTCCACGCCGATTGGCCGAATCCGAATCCTCTTTACGACGGCACGAAACTGGCCGCGGTCGGGAATGTTATCGTCGCAACGGTGAACTACCGGTTGGGAGCTGTCGGCGCCATGTCGTTTTCCGAGTCGCAAGACAAGATTTCCGATCTTCTTCCCGGGAACCAAGCGATGCTGGATCAGCAGAAAGCGCTCGAGTTCTTGAAGGAGAATTTTGCGTCAACCTCGTCCTCGCTGCACTCCCTCGGCGACCCCGACAGAATTACGGTGTTTGGGCAGTCGTCCGGCGGGGTGCAGACCGCGTTTCACTTGGTATCCTTCCTGAACAAAAAAGTCAACCTCTTCGGCGCGTTCCCCATGGCGAACTTCGCTCTGCATCACCAGTCAGAACCCCTGAAGAACGCCCTGGAACTGGGGAAGAAGCTCGGGTGTGGCAAAGTAGGAGGTCACAGCGAGATCATGTCGGGCGGTGGTCATCTTGGTGATGGACACGATCAAAATGCATCGACTTCTTTGGAGGGTAGTAGTAAGGCAGGAAAAATTCGTGTGGCGGATGAGCCAGAAATTACAGGAGCAGCTTCTGAAGCCGGATCTGAAATACAGCAGTCTCTCCTGACGTGCCTGCAGCAAGTCCCCATCGAGCAGATCGTGAATCTCCAAGACTGGGTCGGGGATTGGACCACGTGGACCCCGGTGGTCGACGGCTTTATGTTCCACAAGCCAGCAGAAGATGTACGTGAGTTGGCCGGTAGTTCAACATCGAGTACTACTGAGAATCCCCACGATAGATCGTCTTTTCTATCCCAGTCCAGCGCGTTGCCAAAGTCTTTGAAAGACTCCAGCGCGTTCGACATTTCTCCGATGAAAAACGTCGCGCTGCTTGCCGGATGCAACTCTGGAGAAGCCGGTCCCGACAAATCCATCGTGAACCAGGACCAGTTTGACGCGGTGGTGCAGAATATGGTGAAGAAGACGGGGTGGTTAAAAACTACAAATCGCGACATGTTGGGAAAAAAACCTTCCGAAGAAGGTCCACGAGGAGCAAAGCAAGGTCCTCTGACGGAGCAACAGCTCGTTGCCGTCCGCGACTTTTACTTGAACAGAATCTCGGCCGACACGAAGATCGTTTCCAAATACAACTACGGGCTGGACTCCGGATTTTCGAAGTATGCGTTAGCTGCGCAGGCGGTCTCGAACGACTTGGATCCGATCCGGGAATTGCGGGAGTTGGCTTCCTTGCATTTTGACGTGCAGAGCGGAAGGAGAGGACGGGGAGGACGGAGTGGCGAAAAAATCGAGGAAGAACGGCCAGGAGAACAGAGCTTAGGGTCCGCGAGACCGTGGTCCTCACAGCAGGATCAGAACCACTCTGGAGCTGCACCAACACCAGCAGATGAGGAACACGAGTTCGCATTTTTGGCACGAAAGAGGGCCGTTAGTACTTCAACAGATGACAGAATAGCAAGCCGCATCAGCAGCTCTACTACCCCGGACGGGAAGGCCGAGCCGGAGTTTCTTTTCGGCTCAACATCTGCAGGCAGCACCGGAGCTGCATCAGCGTCGGAGGTGCAGCAGCAGGACAAAGACAATGATAAGCCACGAGCCAAAACCTTTGTCTACGAATTCACGCACGGGTCCTCCTTCGAGCCGACGTCTTTCCTTTATGACAGTGCACAACTCCCCCTTGCAACAGCAGCAACACAATTGCTGGCATAAATGCAGCTTTTGCATGACAAATTCGCGACCGATTCCAGTGCTGTTTCGGCTTCCAAAAACCTGTCATGCAAGAAGTGGCAAAGAGAAAAGGGTGGATTTGGTATTTTGCATGACAAATGAGGGGGAGGGGGAGTTGTGCATTGTCATATCCTTCCGATCAAACCGGACCCGAGTTCGACCAATTCGTCCGCTGCGGTCGAGAAGTGGCGGCAACAGTGGGACCAGTGGCAGTCGATAAATGAACAGCAACGGATGAGGGAGGAGGAGAAGCAGTGGTACCACTACCTCGCCCCGCACGGTGCGGAACTGGATTTCCTGTGGGGCCGGGCGATTGACTTGGGGACGGAGGAGGAGAAATTATTGTCGAAATTGTTCATGAAATACGTTGCGAATTTCGCCTACACAGGGGACCCAAACTCCGGACCGCACGAACCCCTGCCGATCCCGTTCTGGCCGGAGTTTGTAAATAGCGGAACAGTAATATCACCGCGAGGAGGAGACTCTTCGTCAGGCCCATCCGTCGGTGGCGGCGGAGGGTCAATGGTTATTGATAATTTTACCAGGTGGGAATGGGATAGTAGTTATGCACCAGAGGAAAATGAAAATATGGAAAAGCAAACGGCAACAACGTCAAAGATAGTGGCAAACGGAGTTTCTATAAAAACGATCGCGGATGCCTTTGGCCCGCGGGGACCGGAGTTTCAGTTTTGGCGAACCTTGCTTGAGTTGCCGGAGGGGGACATGTTCCGTCCGGATTTTTTGAACCCGCAGCCGTAAGGAGGGTTTTTTTGTCTTTATGCATTGACTAAAGCACGCTGCAGCAACAGCGTCGCTTTTTATTTGCTTTTCACGTCTGCGAAATAATACGAATTTACAGAAGTCAATTTCTCAGCTCACCACACCCGGGAGCGGGCAAGAGGTTTCTGATCTAAGTAGTTTTGTCTGTGCAATTTTGGAGAATTGATAACACGATACTTTACAGCATGTTGTTTCCAAGTACTCGACAGATCTATTGCGATTCATATGGGAGACGTCTTTTGTCATCGTTCCTTAAAGTTTTACTTACTACCTATGACCGCTGTGGCGTACCAGACGAGGCGCCTTTATGGCTTTTTTGGGAATACAGCGGGAGTGGCATTGTAATCGCTTGAGAATAAAGGAAGTTGAAAATGAGCACCGCATGACAATAAAGCTGGAATTTGATTTGACAATGCAAGATCTTGTTCTGTAGTGCGCAATAGATTTTGATTGAGTTTTAACGCTGGCTTTGCTTCAGTGCTTGGCCGTCGATCCCCATTCCAATTCTGTTCTTTAAATAGCATAATAGTATCTTCAAAGTAAGTCGGAGCTGCAGCTTTTGGCTTTGCTTCTAAAGAGTAGTTCCGAGCCGACGACGACGAGAGACCATGTTTGTTGATCAGCCTGATGAAGAACACAGACAAAGAAATATAATGTTAGCACGAGCACGAGCTTCTGATCAGCCTGTTCCTGTTAAAGAATTTGAAACTCGAGCGATGTGCGCCACGAAGATTGAATGAGGTTTCTGTGCAACAGCGATCAACTAGCGTTTAGACGAAAAATACTACAATTGCTTTCTTCGAAGGAATATACTTCACGCGTACAATAACTAGCAAAGCCAGCTTCGCCTGGAAGTAGGCATTAGAAATAACGCAAATGTCAGTTAGCATCATCGACATCTAGATAACAAATCAAAAAGAAAAAAGCGCCGGCCCCAAAACAAGGCCGCGGCGCGCCCAATGTGGTCGTCGCGGCTCCGGCGCGCCCAGATTGGTCGCTCCATTTCCGGCGCGCCCAGTCTGGTCGTCCCGGCTCCGGCGCGCCCAGAGTGGTCGCCCCAGCTCCGGCGCGCCCAGAGTGGTCGCCCCGGCTTCGGCGCGCCCAATCTCATCAACCCGGCGCCGAACGGCCGTTGGACAACTTCTGGCAGTCCGACGGCCGTCGGACGACTCTGGGTTGTCCGACGGCCGTCGGACGAGTTTCGGCTGTCCTACGGCCGCCGGACGACTTTCGGTTGTCCGACGGCCGTCGGACGACTTTTGGTTGTCCGACGGCCGTCGGACAATTTTTGGCCGTCGGACGACTTTTGGCCGTCCGACGGCCGTCGGACAACTTTCGGCTGTCCGACGGCCGTCGGACAACTTCTGGCCGTCCGACGGCCGTCGGACGACTTTTGGCTGTCCGACGGCCGTCGGACAACTTTTGGCCGTCCGACGGCCGTCGGACGACTTTTGGCTGTCCGACGGGCGTCGGACGACTTTGGGTTGTCCGACGGCCGTCGGACAATTTTTGGCCGTCGGACAACTTTTGGTTGTCCGACGGCCGGCGGACAACTTCTGGCCGTCCGACGGCCGTCGGACGACACTTGAAGTCGAAACTAAAACTCAAACTCCAAGTTGATTCTAAATCTCAAACTCGAAGTCGAAACTGAAGCTCAAACTTCAAGTTGATTCTGAAACTCGAAGTCGAAACTGAAACTCAAACTCAAAGTCCAAGTTGATTCTGAAACTCGAAGTCGAAACTGAAACTCAAACTCAAAGTTCAGGTTGATTCTGAAACTTGAAGTCGAAACTGAAACTCAAACTCTAACTTAATTCTCAAACTCAAACTCAATGTTGAAACTCAAACTCAATGTTGAGACTCAAACTCAATGTTGAAACTCAAACTCAAACTGACATTTGCATTCTTTTCTGCCAAGGTAGTTAATATCTATACCATGATAAGATTTTTATTTTTGCTCGCGACACAACGGCCACCTATAGGATTGTAAGTAGCCAGTTTAGATAATTGCTGAGAACTTTTACAAACCAGCACCACAAAAGAAAATGACGCTCACAGCGGGCAACTCGTCGTCTAGCACGGCGTACAACCCGAAGATCACGCGCATCGGTCTGCACCACAACGTGACCAAGAGAACGCAGCCCTTTTCCTCGGAAGTTAGCAAGGTACTACGTGACTCGTACACAGCAAAAATCTTAATCTTCTGTAGTTATTCAATGTGCTGGCAAGTAGTCTCCAGCTGGAATGCGCATCATCCGAGAGGCACACGTAAATACTTTTTTTTTCGCGACAAGAAATTATGAAAAAACAGGTGAGTTTCGGGCGCAAGGGGCAGCCCGGACTTAAGCCGACGGACTTTTCGTGCAGTCTGATCCCATTCTCTTTCCTGACGTTTACATGGGCAACAAGTGAACCGGGGAAAATCAAGGCGTTAATCAAGTCAGGGGACCATGGTAAGACTCTTAGAGAAACAGTAGCTGTGTTGCGGTTCTATTGCATGACAGTGTAGCTTTGTGCTGCGTCTTTACGCATGGTAAAGACAAAAACAAAAATGAAATGCGAATCAATTCCTCTTGTGTCGACGAAATAAACCAGATCTTTTCAAGCTGGACGGAGATAGAGAGCGAAAAAACGACATTCCCTTGCGGCTCCCGAAAACCCCCGAGGCGCTGAAAAAGCTGGAGGACATAAATTTGAGCACTCCGAAAGGGCAAAAACCGCCGGTCGTCATCAACCGGGACAGGAAAAACAAAGCGAAAGTTGAGTCCTTGGAAATTTCCCTGGATATCGGCGACAGTTTGATTTTTCAGGAGAAAATCCAGGAAAACGCGGCGGAGCCGGTGGATCACGTGCTGCAGATCGTCTCCTACAAGCCCACCAGCTCGGTGTCCCAAAAGGCCTTCGTCGCAAAATATCTGCGACTCAAACACGAAGCCGATAAGGCGGAAGCCAAGAACGCGGAGCTGCAGAGGTATATCTGAGTAAATAGCGCTGTTATTGGGATGGATTGTTTATTACGGTAAGTTGTGCACGAAAAATGCATAATAAATTTCCTTCGTGGCTTTGCACAAGAACCAGATGCGAAAAATAGAAATTATCTTGTACTTGCTGATGTCTTTTGGGGAGACGCGAGTCACAAAAATTTTCACCTTAAGGCAATACGCCCCGCTGGTCGCGGAGCTTGCCGCGCCTCCGCAGAAGAAGCAGGCCGAGCTAGAGACTTTAATCGGGAAAAAGAAGCTACTGCAGACCAGGTGCGAAATGATGGAGAAGAAGTTTGAAAAAGAAGAGACGGCGGCGAAAAACGCCAACGAGGGCGAGTTAGAGACAAAGCGAGAAGCCAGGCTGGCGGTGCAACGCGAGATTGAAGAAGTGCAGAGGAGCATTGAGACTGGTAAAGAGCGTAATCAACGTTATTCGTTTCTTTTTTAGATCAGGAAAAATTCAGCTCTCACGGTAAGTAACGTGATGTCAAAAATATTATGCGCAAGAATTTAAATTTTATCATGGACAAACGCAAAAATTGCTTCTACTTTCACCAATACGATGCGACTACAGAAACACACATGGTGAATCCACACGCGCGCGCGTTGCAGGGGGTCGGGCAGTACAAGGGAAAATTCAAGCTGGAAGACGAGAAAGCAGAGGCCGACGTGACCGACCAGATCCAACTGATAAGGAACGCCCAGTACAATTTTTTCTTTACTAGGCTTTGTTTTGAAAAGTTGGCTGCAAGTTTTTCTACAGGCATGCGCCACGACTTTCGATATTTATAACTTTCGATAGTTAGCTGACCATGCATTCATTTTTATTATGTAGCTTCTGCAACTTTATCTGACGCATAAAAGATTTTCTCTCGCTTCTTGCTCCACAACAGGCCCGACACGCTGGATAAAAACGATTTTCTGAAACTGAACGCGGATCGAGGCGACCTGTTCGTATGACCTGCAAAAATATCGCACTCGTATAAATGCATTGCAAATAATTATTTCCTCAGCATGAGAAACAAAATTTGTAATGCAGATTTGCCTTGGAAACAAGATTTGTATATGCAAGACTTGTATTTAGCATTTGTACGAGTACGATGCTTTTGCACAGGATAGTTCGACGACGACGACAAATTCGGGGGAAAGTCACCCAAGCGAAGGAAGTTATCGGGCGCAAACGACACGCCGTTTCTCGCGGACACACCGCTGGGGCTTGTGGAAGGTCAGACTCCGGGGGCGACGCCCGCATACGAGGGGGGGCAGACTCCGGGGGCAACGCCAGCGTATGAAGCAGCGGGCGAAGAGGACGAAGCAGACAACGACTCGTCCCCGGTCGAGGACGAAGAAGACGACTTGTTGGCGGAGTGACCTGGTTTTGTGTCACAACAAGCATCGATAAAGTTTGATTCGCTTCGTCTAACCGCAAGACATCTTACAGAACTCACTGCGCATGTAGTTGTACGACCTGTTTCACCCTTAACTGCTGCTTGCGAAACTGTGTCACCCCTGTGCGAAACTAACGAACGACTACCATCTGAAGAATCTCTGGACTACTTTTTTATCCAGTTCTTGGTCTTGGCTAAACAAGAGTACTACGAATGACGCAAAAGTATTCAGCACTGCAGTCGCTGTTGCGATTGAAGTATGATACTTGACAGCACGGAAGAATACACCGGCGCAGCTTTCTTGTTTGTACAAGCACCAAACTGCTAGTTTTGTTGGTTCCATTCTGACGGCGTATCGGCATTGTTATACGGTTGTCTACTTTTGTTTCTTTCTTTCCCCGACCAGAGGTCAGGACGGTTTGAAGAGAGCATACAAGAGTGAGACGGCTTTTCATTTCATCTCTAGGGAGCTTTTTCGCAACAGCATCAGCATCAGAAGAGAATTGCTATTGTGGAGTGGCACGTACCTAAAAAGGTGGGAAGACTTTCCCCTTTGCACCCGCTGCCAGAGATGAGAAGCTGCACGAGGATCATTTTTGTTCGAGCGAAGCAAGAACCTGTTTTCTTCGTGTTTCAGGCACGACGAGGATAATGTACTGACTCATTATTTTGTCGAAGATGGATTCACATTCATCATCAGATTCTTCAAAAATGTGAAGGACAAAAATGCTGCGCGCGCCTTTGCCGGTGGCCGAGGACGAAAAGGAGGTCGCGGATCCGTGATAGCGAGTGCCGCCTCCGGATCCTGGAATGCCGCAGGAACGTGGAACCGTGTCAGGTACAGCGAGTGTAGCTGGTCTTTCGGCACGGCGGCGTCCTGGGGGGAGAGGACCACCAAAAATCGCGAAGAATTTTGAAAACCGAGCTCAACTACAGGACGAGCTGCACGACGCCGCTGCTGCAGTTTAGGCCGCTGTGGTTTTGTTGAGGTTGTTCCGCGTGTGCGAGGACAGCGGAGTAGCTCCTGTTGCTGCTAAAAATCCGTAGTACACCACTCGTCTTCGTCATTGTCTTGGGAATAAAAATGGCCGGTGCGGAGCAGGAGCAGCTGGGCGATTTGCGCCGCACGCTAAACGAAGCGCTGGAGGTGAAGGGCGGCGCTGGGGGTGCCACTCCGAGCGGGAGTGGGCCGCCGAAAAGTACGATGCTCGTGTTACCCGGGTCGCCGGACCATCCACGGACAGGTACTGGAGAAAACATCAGTGCGGGGGGAAGCACCCAACACGTGCCGCCGCCCAGCCCGTGTCACTCGGCAATGTACAACTTCATTTATGAAATTTGACTAACGCGGCCATCTTCGAATTTGTGCGGACATAAGCCCGGCGTTCTTTGAGTATGTTCGTAGTTGTATTTATTCACGACCGAAAAGTCGGACTTTTTGATTTTGTTCGGTAGATCATGAGTATTTTGTTTCCATCAGCATGGAAAACAATTCCAACCTCAGCGGCCTGCCGTCCGTTCTCGGGAGTCAGGACGGCATTTCGACCGGGCAGATAAATTTTCCCGGATTATCATTATCCTCATCACCATCACCGAACCCGCCGCCAAAAGACGGAGGGGGTGCAGCTACAACTTCTACGTCTTCTACTGCCGAAGGTCCAACTAGTAAGGACAAAGAGAAGAAACACAGTCAAAACCAGGTCAACTGCAAGTCTCGTCCGGGATCGATCGCGCAGCAGTTGCAGGTGGTGCACAAACGCTCGGACATATCGCAAGAAAAAAGTGTTACAGTTACACATTGTGTTGCGAAACAAGCAACACAGGCAACCTCTGTCATGCCGGATATGTATAGGAGCCTCGTTTCATAGGTGTTTTCCCGTGCGATTTCTGCATTACAAGTTTTCTCCCTCATGCAGAGAAATTTGTGTTGCTGAATTGACCACAAATGTGTAACTGTGACACTTTTTTCGTGGGATAGGACACCAGTACCAGCTCAGTAATTTCTTCGTCCCATCGGCACAGCCACAGTCAAATCCTGGCGATGAACATTGCGGAAGAGAGTGAAGAAAGGGATTGTTCTCATCATGCCGCCCCAGACGGCGGGCTTCTCGGAAGCGGCACAAATGTCCGCACCGGCTCCTCCGCATCTTCTCCGAGCAACGCAAACACCAATTTTTCGTCATCCGCAAACCAAAACGTCGCGTCGGCCGCCATTCTCTTGCACTCACCGACGACACACGACAGCAACAGTGTGGAGAAAAGCGTTTCCACGGGGGGCGATGTTACCGTGGAGAAAAACCTTTCGGGAAATGCGCAGTCTTTGGATTTGCTGGAGGCGAACCAGACGAAAGGCCTGGGGTTGCAGCAGAGCCACTCCACCCGGAGCGCGCGGCAGGTGTGCTCCCCGCTAGCCCCGATCAAGTCGGAGCGGCACGCCGAGCAGGTGTCGAAGCAGCTCACTTCGGAGACGGATTACAGCGATAGCAGTGTGCCGCTGGCCGACTGTGAGGCCGCAGGCGCGCACGCCACGCGGTCCAACATGATGGGAACGGCGGGGGTGGACGTCGTGCAGAAGATGGACTCGGAGGAGGACGAGAAATTCGCGACGCCGTTCGGCGGCTACTTCTCGGTAAAGTCGGAGGCCGCGGCGGACGCGGTGGAAAACAGTCCCTATTTCGGCTACGCGTACGGCTTCACGTGGTGGACGTTTGCGATGGTGCTGGGGATCTGCATCGGGGGGGTCAACCTCTGCTTCCACGCCGCCTACCACAGCATCGAAGACTCGCTCGTCTGGGCGGCCGAAGAACTCTTCTACACCAACGGCGACGACTATCGCAAGAAAAAAGTGTATATAGTTACACATTGTGTTGCAAGACCGGCAACACAGATCATAACCTTTCTCATGCAGGAAATGCTTGGGAGCCTCGTTTCCTTCCTGTAATTTTCCCTTATGATTTTCGCATTACTCCCTGCCACACAGATAAAATTTGTGATGCAGAAACTCCAACAAATGTGTAACTGTAGCACTTTTGTCTCGTGATAACGACGACCGGACCGCAGCGCAGGCGATCTCGTACCACCTCTTCCGCGCGTATCAAATGTAAAAATGTCTGGGTCTGGAAAATTGGAACGTGTAATGCGTGTCATGCACTCCTGGAAAATCTGTGTTGCATGAGCAGCAAAACAGAGGCTTTCTTTGTCATGCAAAAACGCAATTTGTAATGCGTGCTAGGCATCAGCAGACCTCTCAAAAACTTGTCATGCTTGGCTGCCATTGGAAGCGCTTCAATCATGCGCAATTCAGCATCTCAAGTTTCCAGACCCAGACATTTTTACATTTGATAGCGCGGTCGGGGTGTTAATTTCCAGCATTTTTGTCGGCGTCGTGGTGTCCATGCTGGTGCCGGAGTGCAGCGGGGGCGGCACGATTTCCGTCCGCGCGTGTATCGCGCTCGGGTCTTTCGTACCCGCGCACGTCGGACTGGCAAGATTTGCGCTGTCGGCGGTCTACATTGGGTTTGGCAATCCGCTCGGCGCGGAGGCGCCGACGCTGCACATCTGCGCCGCGGTCAGTTGCTCGCTGTACTGGCTCTGTCAACAGTACCAGAAGATATCCGTCTACTTCCCGGCGGAGAACAGAACCACGATGGTGATGTGTGATTTTGGAGGATGTGTGTAGAAGTCGTGTTTGGGTCTTGACGATGCTCTGCCTCGTGGTGCAGTCGTGTTGTGTCACGCACAAAAGTTTCATCCTGTGCATATGTGTATGAGTAGAGGATTTGGTCGTGAGTCGATTGTTCGCCGGTCCGAAATCTAAATCTTCCTTGTCGACAGGTTATCGTCGGCTGCACCTGCGGCCTCGCCGCAGCCTTTTCCGCCCCCATCGGCTCGATCCTGTATGCGATGGAGGAATTTCGGCACTCGCTCGGGGACAGCAACATGTACACCACTCTGATCACCACCGCGTCGCTTGTTGCCGTGGTTACCACGCAGTTAGTGGTCACGGGGAAGTTTTACGAAACGTGCGAGGGCGGCACGAACGTCGGCAGGGGGAAGTGGGAGGTGTGCACCTGGTTGGCAGTGGCGACCCCGTTAGGGATTGCGGCAGGGTACGTCCCCTTACTCTTCACGAACTGTGTCCTGTCCCTCCGGTCGAGGTTGCGGAAATACGGGGTGATAAGGCAGATGGTGATCTCCGCCTTGACAACCACCCTGCTCGGAACCTTCTGCTACGAGGTCAGCCGGGCACTTTTGGTGGAGAAAGAGTTGTGTCCGAAGCAAAACCTCTGTGTGGACGCCGCGAGCAGTGGTGCCACAGCGTCGGCTTCGAGGGCGCTACTAGCTGAAGATGAGCAAATAAGTACAGTAGGTACAACTTCATCCACGACGGCCGGGGAACTAGGTGCGGGTTTCTCATCAGCATCTTCCTCAAGATCATCGCTAAGCACAATAATAGTACCCGGAAATACAGATACAACTCCCGCGTCTGGCGGCCTGTCCGCATTCTTTTCGTCCACAATAGGAACGATGAGTTCCTCATTTTCGTCCTCAACATTTGAGAGGAGGACGCAGCAGAGCATAATAGAAGACACCGCGAGGCAGAGAATCGGTGGGATAGCAGCAGCAGGTGGCGATGATGCAAAAATATCAGCTTCGACGAATGTATTTCCTCCAGAAACATCAGCAGGAGCTGCTCCTGCTCCGAGGAGACAACTCGCGTCGTTTGTGCCGTCTTGCGGCTGGGATGGGGTATGGGGTGCGGGTGGCAGGACGATGGAAGAAATCTTGAAACCAAGGCCGAGGCTAGACAACGACAGGTCGCTGATAATGCCCTTGTTGATTTGCTGCATCATGTTCTTTGCCTGCAAATTTATTGCGTGCCTCACGGCGGTGGCTTGCGGAGGTATAATTTAATTTGTTCACATTTTGACGACCTTATGAAAGCAGAAGCACAGTACTTCAGCGACAATTCTCTTATCATGTCGACGCGGGCGACAAGGCAACAGAGCTGGTGCAGTGCGAGAACACGACCACCGTAGATGTAAGATACATAAAAATCACAAATAAAGGTAGCGGTGGCGTCTTTGCCCCCGCCCTGGTTCTCGGCGCCGGACTTGGCGGCGCCTACGGTGGGCTCCTCTCGTACCTTTTCGACGACGCCTACTACCAGCTGCTTTTCGTACCGGTCGGGATGGTATGGATTGCAAAAATGTCTGGGTCTGGAAGATTCTGAGACTTGTCATGCATGTTTTGCATTGGCCATGATGTCCGTGATGCATGCCCTAGCATCACAGATTTTTTGAGGGCTTCGCGATGCCTATTCCGCATGACAAATGCCCTCTCCGCGTAGCAAAAATTGCGTTCCCTTTGCTGCTCATGCAATACAGATTTTTTTAGAATCCAAGTGCAGCATCACAGGTTGCCTTCTTCCAGACCCAGACATTTTTACATTTGGTAGATGGCTGCGGTGTTTTCCGCCATGATCCGACTCCCCCTCACGTCGGTGGTCATTGTGTTCGAGATGACCATATCAAAAGGAAAAATGCCCCCTCCCCATATCGGAAGCGAAATTTGTGATGCTGTATTTGAGTACACAAATCGACTTGTATTGCTAGAAGGCCAGGAGACGCAGCTGCGGCCTGAATTGCAGGCAATTTGTCATGCTGTTTCCCACTTCCAGCTGCCTCCTGTCATGCTGGAGATGCAAGGCTTTCCCAAAGCTTGCCAGCACTACAGTCCGCATCTTTTGCCTTCTAGCATCACAAAGCTGATTTGTGACCACAAATCTGCATCACAGATTTCTGTTTTGATATGGGGAGGGGGCATTTTTCATTGTAATAGACCAGCGTCGCGGGGTCGCAGGACTCGTCGAAATATCCTGAGTAAAAACGCCCCCATACCACAGTCAAGATTGATGGGAAATCTGCTAGACAAATCGGCCAACTTTGGTTGATTCGCATGAAGACAAGCGTGGCCTCGTAGTGTAATCCTGTTCAGCTAGTTCAGCAGCATCACAGGCCCAGCATATCATGCTATTTCTAGCGTCACAAATCCCAAGACACGACTAGAAAAGACTTCTCATGGGGCTTCGCATGAGAAACTTTTTTGGCATGCAGATTTGCATGACAGCTTCGGGGGTGGGATGGCTTTACTCAGAATACGAAACTGGTTTTCCCCATGTTGCTCTGTTCGATGATTTCCTACTTCGTCAACTCCGAGGTCCAACCCTCGACCATGTGGGATCATATGCCTTGCACGCGTTTCGGACTAGGATGGATTTTTGCATCACAGCTTTCAATATAGAAGAAAAACGGAATTGATTCGTATTGGGGGGAAAAGGTAGGAATAGGAAAGCAGAATTCTCTGCTTTTTTGCATTGATTATGTACTGCTGTGCTGCAAGTGATTCATCTTTCTAGTTCGATACTTTCGAGTCTAAGGCATAGAGCAGCTGATGGAGCAGGATAACATCGACCCGAAGTCTCTTCAGCAGTTTCTGAACGCCGCTTTGGAGAACCCCATCATGAGCCGCAGGTCGATCCGGGCGAGCATTTGCAGTGTGAGTGCTGCGAACAACGACAACTTTCTTGGAGGAGGTAACAATGGCAATTTCGCCACGACCAACATGAACAATGCAGCGAACATGGGTTCATCTGCTGTCTCGGGTAACAACGAAATTGGAAATCAATTTGGGGCAGCCGCGACGAGGGTAAGCATGAGCCGAGGCATGGGCGGGGGCTTCAATCTGGAACGGTTCTCAATGCGAGGTATACTTTTTCATGTTTGTTTTCGCAAGGTCGTGGAGTCGTGTATCCATGCCGTGAAATAAGCAGATCATTGGAACACCGGGACCAGAAAGTCATTCTTCTCCTCAAACCGATCACTATCACTAATCTATCAGCATCTCTCGCCGCACCGATGAAGCGCGAGAACTCGGCCTTGAGTAGTGCGAGTTCGATTCTCCCTCGGAACTTCAGCAGCGCGAATGAGGGCGATATGACGGGAGGAATGCATCAGGACATGGTTAGAGAGGCACTGAAAAGGATTATTGCGAATCAGGTACTGAATACTATCCCTTGATGTTCTTGAGGTCGACATTAAGTTTGTCCTTGTCTCACACCAGCATGACGAGCATGAAGTTTTGATGTGCTACAGCTTCATCTAGAAGTACAGTATTTCGTGCTGCAACATCAAGGCCCACTGCGCCAAAAATAATTAAACCTGCCTTCCCAGCCCGCAGCCGCCCGCGACCAGCAAACGCTGCGGATGACGACTGGCGCGACGCCGAACGTTGCGGGGCAGAAACGGATGTCCCTGTCCAAGCCAAACGGAAACTACCAGGTCAAACAGAGCCGGTCCCAGGGGCCCTCGCGGCGCGAGTCAGCCGTGGCGTTCGTGCAGCAGAGGCTGAGCATGTATCCTGAGTAAAAACGTACCCACGACAGAGTCAGGATGGGGATTTTGCAACACAAACCTAGGAGTTTTGTGAGTCACGCGTGACAAGTTGCACTCTGCAGTGTAGTGCAGGTTAGCAAGTGCAGCCGCATCACAGATTCATCTGCTCATCCTGTTCACAGCATCACAAATTCCAAAACACTATTGGAAATGGCTCTCATGGGGATGCGCATTACAAGTCTTCCTGTCTTTGCAAATCTGCATTACAACTCTGGCGTGGGTACGTTTTTACTCAGGATAGCATGGCCTTCGGCGCAACGTCTTCGAGCAGCGGTGCGAATAATGGCGACGTGTCGCCGACCCAACAAGTGGACGCGATTCTGCAAAACGCGGGGCTGGTGAAGCAGCACAGCGTCACGGGGGCGATGGTTCCTCCGGGTGTATCCTTCCTGGGCGGGGGAGGTGGCCCGGACCACCAGCAACGGGTGAGCGCCAACGGCAATTTGCCCCCGGCCTCTCCCCGAGACACGCTCACCAACGGGCACAGCCAAACGCACATCAACTTTGAGGCGTCCATATGCATTGCAAAAGTATCGTACTCGTATAAATGCATTACAAATTTCCTCAGCGTGAGAAATAAAATTTGTAATGCGGATTTGCCTTAACAAGATGACTTGTAATGCATGACTGCAATACGAGCGCGATACTTTTGCACAGGATAGTCCACGACGAGTGCGATGCCTATGAAATCCGTGTCCCACGCGAGCTATCAAATGCAAAAATGTCTGGGTCTGGAAGAACAACTTGTGATGCGCATTTCAGAACACAGGAAAATCTCTAATGCATAGGCAGCAAAAGTTACCCACTATCTGTCACCAAAGTGGGGGGTTTGTCATGCGGATTCGGCATTGCGGAAGCTTCTCGAAACCTGTGATGGGAGAGCTTCCATGCCAGACCTTCTGTGTCATGCAAAAACAGCATGAGTCTTCCAGACCCAGACACTTTTACAGTTGATACGAGCCGGGAGTCGCGGACTGGCTCGTTTCGGTCCTGAAAGAACCGGAAGTCATGGAGACCATGCGCGAGAGACAGACGTCGTGGTGGTTTCCAGGGGAGGATTTTGTGTTTTCGCAGTTTGGTGTTTGCTATTCCCACTCAATTTCTTCGAGATCAGATGAAAGAATCGGTATCTCGTACTCGTTCGACAACAGGTGAATACTTTTTCATTTCAACTTTCGACAGTACAACAGGGAAGGTATTAGACGAACAAATCTAGTGACGACGAGCAAAGTAGTGTACGTTTCGACATACTTCTAGACGAACAACATATGTTACTGTCTCCAGTATCGCAGTAAAGATTTTTCGCAAAAGTAATTAATGGTCAGGACAAGAACAAAAATGAAAATCAAAATCATACAAAAGCAGATTCAAGCAGATTATGAACGGAGTGCAAAACTCCGGGCAACAAGTATTTAGACGCTTCTTGGTATTATGCTTTTCTTTTCAAAACAAGGTAAAGGGTCTTCAAATTTTCGGGCTGATTCATCTCAAATCTTCCTTTCACAGACTTTCCGCGTAGTTGCAATGCGCCCTGGCACGAATCAGTGGCGAAGTAGAAAAAGGATTTCGCTAGTAGAGCAGAATCGACGATTTGGGCACGATTTAACAACAGATTGTAGATACCCTTGCGCCAGCAGATCTTTCCGTCTCGATCTCGAGACTGAAGTTTCAGTCGAAAGAAATATGCTTCTCATGTGTCTATTCGTCCTCGCGATAGGCTACGCGATCATTGCTGGGTGTTCTGTTTACATTTGTGTGAGACGGAATCCGCGCCTTGTAGGTACAGAGCAGTCGGTCTCGTCGTCCTTTCTCCACCGTGCAAAAAAACGATGCAGTTTGTGTGCAGAATCTGCCGTTAGGTGTCAGTGTGCACCTCGTGCCCTCCTACGTAAACATCGGTCTTGTTCGTTCGCAAAACACGTCTGTTGCTTCCAAAGCTGCCACTCTCGGTTTTCGTACATTGTGTGCTTGCGTCGTTTTTTTTTTTTCGTGCAATCAAGGAAGATAAATATCATCGTCCGTAGCCGTACGCGTACCGGCACAGTGAAAGCTAGGTTGTCGTGTCTGACTGCGCAAAGTGGCGAGAGCCCTCTATTTCAACAAACGTTTTTTTTTTCAAATGTCCTCCTATCTGCAGTGAAAAAGGTCATTGACAACTCAGCTTACCCAAGACACTTGCTACTTATCAATCCACTGCTGTATGGCTGCTAGAAACTTCTACGCTTCAGAAAGGCGCTCCTCCCCGTTTATAACCCATGTCTGTCTACATTTCCCTAGCAGCAGGCTATCGCTATCCCCATAAGCAGAAAAAATCCATATGAAGATGCGGATTCTGGCGTGGAGCGGCGGGCGCCTCTGGGACGATATGAATTTTCTTCCTGCCTACAAGTGATTAGCCGAATTGGAATTACAACTTAGCAGGTTCTTTTTCCACCACGCTGACCAGGCACCCCGGGCAAGATGGGTTGCTGTTCGTCCGCCATGCTTGGGGGCAAGGACGCCCTCAGTCTGCCGAAACGAACCAACAGCATGTACATGTACGACGAAAACTACGAAAAGCGGGACCAGGGTTCGTACACGCCGGCCAATTTTGACCCGAACAAAGCCAACAATTTAACCAAGAAAAAGGACAAAATTCTCATCTCCTGCGAAAAGTCCGCGCTCGTGCACGTATAATTTGCGGGTTTTTTTGTTGAAAAAAAATCATCCGACCTCTAATCATGAGTTATTACATCGAAGTAATAGTTGTACAGCCATCCTAGCATTGCGTGGGAAGAAATGTGTGAAGATTTTTTGCAATGAAAATTTTTCTTCGCCCAGAAGTACAACGACACACGCGATCCGAGTGAGACTTTTAAAAACGTACCATTTCTACTACTGATTTTACAGGTCCTGAAAACCGGGGTACTGCTGGAAGAATACCTGATCCGGAACAACGTCCGCGGGAAGCAAATCATAATTTCCTGCGTCGACGTGTCCGCGAAAGAGCCGAAGGACAGCAAGTACTACGACTACCGATGGCGCTGCAGCTCCTTCCGGTTCTTCGTCGAATCAGACGTGATCGCCTACATTCCCGTCGTCACGGACCTATCAAATGCAAAAATGTCTGGGTCTGGAAGAATGCAACTGGTCATGCTAAATCTGAAGCATGCAAAAATCTGTGTTGCATGATTACCACAAGTCGCCCAGTTTTGACCAAGTCGGGGGGGGAGTTTCTCATGCAGGATAGGCATGAGAGAGATGGCACAGAATCTGTCATGCTAGGCCCTGCATTGCAGACCTCATGGGTCATGGAAAAGCTGCATGACAAATCGCGCATGCTTCCAGACCCAGACATTTTTGCATTTGATAGGACCGCTGGCTGAGCAAAAAGGCGACCCACTTCGAGCTCGCCTGGATATCCGAGGCGAAGATGCTCTGGCAGGCGGCGCACCTCGGCCAGGACAGTCACGACGGGGAAGATTTCGGCGATTTCGGTTCCAACCTGTTCCCGGTCGCGATTTTGTCCCTCGCGTTGGACATCCAGGACGACGAGACGAAGGGACTGCAAAAGAAGACGAAGAAAAACAACAATAATAATCACGACAATTCGCAAACCATTTCGAACAAAAACACCAAGGCATCCGGCGGTCGCACGGTTGGGGACGATTTGGAGAGGCGGAAGATCCTCGAGCGGTCCTCGGGCTACAACCACAACCTGCTCGTGTTGTCCTCGATCACGCAAAAGTGGGTGCGGCAGGACAAATCGAAGAGACAGCTGGGCGTCGCCGGGTTGAACCAGTTCAAGGATCCGCGATTCGTCATTTCCGGGAAGTTCACGGTGAAGACCATCGATCCGTTAGGCCGGGCGGAGAAGCCGGCCGGGAAAAACTCCGAGGAGAACAAATCGAACGACCCGGACATGTTCGCGCGGGAATTGTCGCACCACCTGCTGTTCTCCGCGTTCAAACAGGTCAGGTTAGAAAAGGTCGCGGCCGACGGGGGCGAGTACGAGCGGCAGTCGATCAAGTACCGGGCGGAAGCGGTGCGGAACGCGCTCGGGAAAAACTGCTCCGTCGACGAGGCGCACAGCGAGCCGGAGGAGGTGCTCACGTCCGCGCGAAGCCGAGGGGTGGTGAACTTCGACCTCGGGGGGGCTGGGGAGGATGAGAATGGAGAGAAAATGAAGCCGGGGTCGTCGAAAATGCCGAAAAGGTCTGGGTCGCCGAAAATCCCCAGCATAAAGAAGAACAACTCGCTGTCAAAAGTCGTCGGCGTCGGGATCAATACGCCGAACCACGCGGGAAAAGGGATTTGCTCCGCGTCCGTGATCGGCCCCCTGGACACGGTTTCGGAGCCGAGTCCCAGAACGGATAGGTCGGTCGTTGGGGAGTTGTCGAGCTCGAGGAATAAGACGGCTGGTGTAGGGGAGAATGGTGCAGGAGGAACATCAGGAAATATTTCTAATCAGGACAAGAACCTGTTGAACTTCGAAACGCACTCGAAAATCACAGAGGAGGAGACTGCGACAACGATCACGGAGGAGGTCGCCGTGCCGGCGAACATGCCCCATTTGTACTTGAATTTCGCGGAGGCGAAGAAGCGCGGGCCGGGGAACAACAGTCCGCGCCTCAGCAAATCGCAGATTCGGGCGAGCCGCGCGGGCTCGAAGGCGAAGAGCACGGCGAGCGGGGAGGGAATGAATGCGCAGGAAAAGGAGCAAGAACAGTCGCTGTCTGGGACGGACGCGGTGCTGAAAAGGATGTCGGAACAGATGGAGAGGGAAAAGCAGGAAAATAACGCCGTCGTTGTTGGTACACCGCCAGACCAAACAGGCACAGTAGACGAGAAAACCAATCTTAAGCCAGAGGCAGAACAAGTAGATGATCCAGCGGACCTCCAGCCCGGCAATTCGCCCCGCGACCCGAGTAAAGAAGTTCCGTTGGAGCTCAACCTCGACACCCCAGCACAAACCTCCAACCCGGCGCACTCGACCACGACGGAACTCCAACTGGCGAAGTCGCAAAACCGCCGCCCCACGCCGCTCCGCTCCCCGCTGGGGCAGTTCGCACCGGGGGATAGACTGGTGATCCACTCGCTGGAGTCGAACCCGGAGTACAACGGAAATTTCGTGAAAGTCCTCTCTGTTCAGTCCGCCGACATGATCGAAGTTGTGGTGCCGACGCAGGGCAATGAGCGGCTGTTCATCCCACCCGCGAACCTCGCTCCGTTACAGGACCCGAAGGCGATGTTCCCCGCCTTAACGCCCTCCGCGCACGGGTCGTTGAGCCCCGTGAGCCGGCACGTGTCCAGCCCGACGATGCGGGGATTTGGGTCCGCGCTTGACAACAAACTGTTCGCCATGAACCCGGATAGTGAGGACGACGATGACGATTTCTTCCTGGAGGAGTCGGATTCGGATATAGACATTCCAGAGCAATTACTCACCGAGGCGATCAATCGGGATAGATTGTACGCGGAGCGATTCGACGAGAACGGGGAGGAGGTAAAGAAGGTTCCCGATGGAAATATAAATAAAGGGATGAACAACCAGCAAAATCATCTGGAAAAGACGATGGAGGATTTTCTCCCGCCTATCTACTGCCCCATAGACATCGAGAAGCTGGCACAGCAGCTGCCGACGAATTTCGGTACACCCGTGCATTTGGGACAGAGTAAGGGAAAGAAGAAGTCTCTCGGCTCGACCTTGTTGGAAGAGGGAGAGGAAGATGATAATAATATCCAGGTCGTTGTAGCGCAGCCACCGGGCATGCCGGTGATTCCCAAGAAGAAACTACCCGAAACAGTACTATCGCCGGAAGTGGAAAAGGAAAAAGAGGAGGAAAAGGTTCGAGAACAGAACGCAACAAGTAAATCCAAGTACAACACTTCCGTGGCGCCGACAGCAAATAACGAGGAAGACGACGACCCGGGAGTGTCGGATCTCGACCTTTCCAACACCGCCTTAGACCCCGGGCTGGCGGATATCGACACCGGGAACTTGATGCGGGAGCACTACCTCCGGAAGGGTTTGGAGGCAGTGTACGGAGAGAATAACGTGCCGCGGGAGCTTATCGCAAGAAAAAAGTGTTACAGTTACACATTGTGTTGCAAGAGCGGCAACACAGACAACCTTTCTCATGCAGGAAATGCTTCGGAGCCTCGTTTCCTTCCTGTTTTCCCTTATGATCTTCGCATTACAAGTTTTCTCTGCCAGGCAGAGAAAATTTGTGATGCCGAAACTCCAACAAGTGTGTAACTGTAACACTTTTTTCTCATGATAGAGCTGATCCAGGCGAGTTTGAATGACACGAGAATGCAGCGCGGGAAGTTCTCTGTCCCCGGAGGAGCGAAGACGAACATCGGGGGACACCAGACAGCTGCAGACAGCACCATCCGGTCCGCGTCCACCGTGAACGAAAATAATGCCGAATTGAAACAGACCGGGGCGTCGTTGCCGACGAACAGTAAGTCTATGAACACCGCTTCTGGGCAGCAAGTCGCGCCGGAGGACTTCGGGTTACCGAGTCTGGCGAAGATGCAGACCACGGAGCACGCGAAGCGGCCGGTGCCGTTTCCGTTGAACCTAGGGCAAGAGACCAAGCAGGAGACGAAGAAGATGGACATGAGCCAGGTGGTGGTTTTGTCGGACACGGTCGGGAACGGGCTAGTCGGCTTGCTCGGCGCGGTCAACGAGGAAAACGGGAATTTGCAGCCAAATTTGTCCTCAGCCACCTCTCCGGTGAACGAAGAAAACGAAAACTCCGATCCGGACATCGAAGACACGATTTTGAAGCCGCTGTCCACCGAGGAAGTCGCGAAGAGGAAGGAACTCGCTTTGCAAACGAACAAAAACCTCTTCGCGCCCATTGGGGGTGGGAAGGTCGGAACTGGCAAAACTTCGCCGCCGCAGCCGCCCAGTCCGCCGGACGAAAGCAAAGGAGTACAGCAGGAGCAAGCAACTATGCCTGGGCCGAGACTCTCCTCCGGTCGCATGGACGAGAGCCGGTCTTCGTCGAAATCCGGGTCGCAGTCCTTCACGCCGCCCAAGGCCCCGGCCGGAATCAGACCGCCGTCGTTGGGCGCGCAACATGGAGCGACGTCTCGACCGGGCAGCGCGTCTATGGACGAGCAAACCTCTTTTTCCACGCAGCAACAGAGAACTTCTACAGGATCTTCCAAGCCGAGGTCCGTCCCCTTCGCGCTCGACATGCACAACGTGAACGACCCGCGCGCGCAGTTCCTGGAGACCATCGTGGGATTGGTCGTTCGGCCGCCGATCAAGGACATGGGGTCGGAGGACCACCGGTTCCCGTCTTCCGTCATCGACGAGACCATCGAGGACAGCAGCAGCAAGAAGCGGCACTTCTACTCCGCCTTTATCGACGGCTCCATCACCCGGGAGATCCCGAAGCAGTTCCGCGGCAAGAACTTCCAGTGGCACTTCTTGGCGGAGCTGCGGAACTCCTTTCTGAACAAAAACATCGTCGTAAGAGAGAACGAAAAAGACACGAAGCCGGACGAGCCGGACCGGGACAAGGAGGAAACGTTCGCGACGCAGAAAATTGTCGAGAATCTGCATGAATTACTGGAAAAGGACAACACGAAGATGGTCTGCTACAGCACGGACATTTCCAAGCGGGAGAAGTACAAGGCGCTCGAGGAGGTGGAGAAGATTTGCCAAACGTACAAAACGCTGAAAAACTCTTTGGCCAAGCACCGCGCGGACGAGCTGGCCGGGTACTTTGGCTACGACTGGCACCCGGATAACAAGGCGAATTTGTTACTCTACTCCGAGTACATCGACGGGGGGACGGTCCATGACCGAATTCAGCTGAAAAGACTGGCGAACCGAAAGGAGATCATGCGGAACGAGCTCGCATTTTCGAAGTTGACCAGCGACCAGCAAGCCATGTACGGTTTGAGCGAGAAGGAAGCGCACTTTATCCTGATCCGGGTGCTGCGGGGCTTGGAGCAGCTGCACTACCTCGACATTTGCCACGGTGCGCTGCGGGCGTCCAACGTCGGAATCAATCGGCGGAGTGGCCGCGTGCAGCTGTTGGACTGGGGGATGTTTGATCTGCGGAAGTACTGCAACGACGAGGGGAAAACCTGGAAGGCGAAAAATTGTCGGTGGATCGCGCCGGAGTGCCTGCCTGATTTCGGGCCGGGAAGGGGAAGCAACTTCTCGAAGGGAAGCGACATCTGGAGCTTGGGATGCTTGGTAAAAATGATTTTTAAATTTCCTGTTTGTTTCAGTTTTGGTCATACTACGTGGCATGAAAAACATCACTCAGATCTATCGCCATGCTGCGTGTAATAGCATCAAGACATAAAGATTTTGTGCTACACTTGTTCCACGCATTTTTTTTTTACCAACAAGAAACTCACACAAACAGCTCCTTGAAATGGTTTCGGGCACACCGCCTTACTCCGCCATTCCGTCCATTGCTCGGCTGAACGACTTCCAAATTTTGTCCTGGCTCCAAGCTGGCAAGCACATTCCCCCAGCGCCCGAGAAAATGAACTCCGCTTCGCTCGAATTCCGCGACTTCTGCCAGATGTGCTTGATTTGGGACCACGAACAACGGCCCGATACGAAGTCGGATTCCTTCCGAAAACATCTGTACCGGAAGCCCGGGTTTCAGGTCGGCAACGAGGACGACAGCGCGGAAATTTACGAGCAGGCGGGCGCGAGCGTGACCACCAGCAAAGAGGCGTCGGTGGGTGCGGACGCAAGAATACAGGACAAGAAGTCGTACCACGAGAAGAAGCAGTTTGTGACGGTTTCCGGGTCGAAATTACCGATGGATCCGCGGGAATTCTTCGAACAACAGCAACGGAAAATGAACGCACAGCGAGGTGGAGGGTCAGCAACCTCTGCAGCGGGAGGAGATCAGCCGCACGGGCTTCCGCCCCCCATGCCGCAGAGGATAAGGCCGCCCCCGCCGGGGCGGCAGTTGGATCCGGGCTATCTGCGTCCGTCCAGCGTGCATAACGTCAGAAATAACCCAAGCAGGCAACTCCGGTCTACGATGGTGCCAAAAGTCGTGGCCTAGAAGGCAAGGACTGGAGTTGTCACAGATAATAGACAGTTTCTAGTTTCTGACTGCGTTTAACGAAAAATATGCGCATTTTGTTTCTGACTGCATGATGAAGTAATTTCACAGAACTGAAGTGCTTGTGCTTTTGCGACTGAGTCGTTTGTGTTTGGTTGCTGTTATGGAGCAGTACGTGTTCAGACAATCAAAGTCACTCTTGTAAAGGTCCCTCGTGATCTCATGGATCAAAGTTATCGTTTCATCGCTCCGTGGCCCGTCAGATGAAAGTCGCTGGATGCTGAATGGTTTCGTGAACTCGCTTTGCTTTCCCGATCGCTTTGTCGTAATACGGAGTCGTAGGGTCCTCGTTGAATTTGAAAACAGGCATATGATACGTCTTCGGGGATGAGTATGTAAAGTCGTGGTAATATGGTAGTGTAATCGTAAAATCGTTCTGAAACTGAATCGCATTCGCTCGTCGTCGCTTTCTGATTCGAAGTCGGGAAATTCGTCTGTGGTACTATAGCAATGAAGGTCCTTGCTCGCAGATCATTCTCTTGCCAGATGAAATCGTTGCTTCCACGACCATTTTTTGGTTTTTCCTCGAAAGACGAAATAGCAAAAATTTAGACGAAAAGAATAAAAGAAGTTTACAAGTAGTATCTGCTCCACACGACGAGGTTTTGTCGGAAAAGATGTTTCTCGATCCGAAAGAGCAAGTTGCTCGGCGTGAAGCGACCTGAACTCTAGAGCACGCGATTGCAAAGCACTTCGAGGAAGGTATAACCGGTACGGGAAAAGGCGATCGGCTGTCTCGAAATCCTATCACGACCCGTCTTCCCCGACCAAATGTCAGTTGGCGGTTTTCTTCCTGACCCCGATTCCCCGCCGCGCAGCGGCTTTTCGAAGCGCAAGCTCCCGGCAACTCTTCGGCGCTTTGTCAACTGGGTGCAGCTGAAGACGCAGCAGAAAACCGGGACTATCAGTAGCAGCAACCCGAGTGACTTGATTCCCGGCTGCAGTTTCGGCGAAGGTGGGCTGTACAATGACTTCGGCGGGCAGACCTCGAAGCACGAGCCCGCCACGCCCTGGCGGTGCTTCGCGCTGGCGGGCGGAGTGCTGTTTGTCTTCTTTTTCACCTGGTTCTGCTTACTCGGAGGCGGAGGCGACAGCGACCTGAGCTCGGCGAACCTCGTGGAGGTAGGCGCGAATGGGAAACGGAAAACCTACGGGAGCAGTAGCGGTGCGGCCAGCGAAACGGCGTTGGATGGTGAGATCATGTCCGAGAGCGAAGGGTTGGTGCTCAGCGCGAGTCCGCGACAAATCTACGCCGCGCCGGCGCCCCGGATCGGCCGGCCAGTAATTCCGGAGGGATACAAGGAACAACTGTTTTTGAACAGTGTCAGAGCGGATATGGTAAAGTCGTGTATTAGTTGTGCTGTGCGAGGGTTTGGTATCTTGATCTTCATCTCATGAATGCTGTTTTATCTTCAACATCATCGGTTCTTGCACGACGGCTTTCGGGCTGATTTGTCTGTTCTATCGACGACGGTCGATCATCAATCACATTTCTGAAATTCATACCTGAAATCGTCGTGCACAACCACTTCTCAGTCCCGTATATGGCGTATCACGAACGAGCCGATCATGAAGCTTTCTCTCCTCGATGCCGTGTGGGCCTTCGACATGCGGGCGGAGTGGCAGGACGCGAAGCTGACCATGATTCCGCCGCCCACCTTTGGCGCAAGTAACAACAAGGCGGGAAACGGGATCATCGGGGACGCCATGGTGTCCATTGTCTCCGCGTACGCCATGTCCAACCACGCATTTTGCTGGCAACTAGCAGACGAGTACGTGGGCCGCGCTTTGTCCGTCTACAAGTCCGAGTCCGGCTACCCGCCGTTGGCCATGAACTTCCGGTCCGGAGAGCGGACCATTCGCAAGGGCGCCAGCCCGATCAACGAAATTAGCGAACTGGCAATGGGGTAAGTGCCGGTCGTTTTCCGCTTTGCCATCTGATGTTCTCCAGCCGTGTTGACAATTTGTGCTACTTGACCCACGCATGATAATGCGAGCGTTTCAAATGCCTGAGCCTGTGCCTACACACTAGATTTAGATACCAAAAAATCTCGAACAAATACCATCAGTTTCCTTTCCGCTGGTCTGCTTCTTCACGGTGAGAACGCCTTTTTGTCAGAGGCGTGGCTCCGGTCGCTCTACACGCTTTCCGGCCTCACCGAAACACACATGCAGAAGGAAGTGGAGGTGATGCCCTCTCTGTACGAGCTGCTGCCGTCGAAGAACGTGATGGAATGGAAATCCATTTCCCCGCCGAAGCAGAACGAGAGCAGCAAGAAGGTCTTGAAATTTTACCTGAAATCAGCCACGTTCGACCGCTTGAGCTTCGCGTACTACGACTTCCTGTTGAAGGGAAGCTTGTTTTTGCGGGACGCTTGGGTCGCGCCTGGGGACCTGATGAACGGGCCGGGGTTGTGGACGAAGCTATTCGTCAAATCGGTCAAGGCACTGAAGCGGGACCGGCTGAAAGTCGCGAGCGACGGACAGATGCTCTTGATTGACCACAAGGGCGATATGCTGTATGATTCCTGTCAGGTACTACAATAGGAGAGAGTCGAGGCTCAAGTTGATTTCTTGAATGATCTTTTTTTAGCATCACCACGTTCTTCGATGTTATATTCCTGTTCCACTTGTGACAACTCACTACAGTTCGGCAGTCTGTTCATTCTCGGCGCCAGCAAGTTGAAGGACGCGATTACGCCGAGGGAACGGGAGGACTGGCTCAACACAGCAAAGGGCGTCGCGGAAACCTGTCACACGATGTTCAAGGCCAACTGCGCGGCGAGCGCGCAGATCGACCCGCTGACGAGCAAGGTGCGGCTGATCCCGAGCAAGACCGCGAAGGAGCACTGCGTGAACTACGAGATGCCGGCGGAAGCCTGGTTCCACCTGTACCTCCACACGGGTGACGTGCGCTACAAGATGTGGCTGCAGGACATGTTCCAGCAGGAGGGGTTGCGGCGGACCCCGAAAATGCTCCGGTTTGCCTACTTTTCCCACCTCCCCTTCGGCTCCGACCTGTTTGAGTACGTGAAAAACTCGGTGGTGTTGAAGTCCGGGCAGCTGATTCGACCCCCAATGACCGGAATGGCCGCGAAGTCGAATGCGCGGTACTGAGCTGTGTTTTGTTTTTTGCAAGAACTGAGGGGGTCTAGAAAAAAAAAATAAAAAATCAACCGACAGAGAAAAGTCCAACCCGCACAGAGAAAACTTCGCAACACATAAAAAACTTCCGTCGTGCAGAGAAAACTTCCCGCGGTGAACATGGTCGCAGAACTAACCTGCACGCGAGACACTGGCGCAGCTTCTGCACGCCTACCCTCGCGCGGTCGGCCGGCGTGCGTTTTATTGTTTTTGGAAAAACTCCGCGCCGAGCGGCATCCGTGGCTGCTTTGCGGCTTCAATACGTAGGCGCGGAGTTCCTTCACGCCTTTGAATGAAGCTAGTCCGTGTGGTGCTGTGGAAGGGTTGGCCGAGGCGGCGCACGTGCATCCACAGGGCCGCTAGGCTTCGCCGGGGTGTGCAACCACAAAAGCGCGCGGCGGCGCCTTCAGGCTATTGGGGGCGCGCGCCGTGCTGGCGTGTGGCAGCGAGCGCGCAGGCCCGCGCGTGCGCAAATTCCTGGCGGGCTGCGTGTGTCCTGCGTGCAGGGCCGGGACATCGCCGCTATTGGCCGAAAAAATTAGTCCGCGCGCTTCGCGCGCGGTTTCGGCGGGTAACTTTTTCTGCTGGGGCCCGCCCTCCGTCCGCCGGGCCGGCCTACCCGCCCCGCCTTGGCTTTTCTTGCCGATAGAAAAATCAAACACGAAAAAGCCCCCCGGATTCCCATTTGGGGCGCTTCTCGTTCTCGTCTGGGTTGCAAAAGTTTTTTTAGGTTCGCGCGCTTTTTGTTGCTACGGCCCCGCCCGGGAAGTGGCGGACGGCAAAAACTGTCTGGGAACCGGATTCGGAGCCGGAAGCCGAGAAAAAACTCCGCGCGCGCTGCGCGCGCGAGTTAATATGGTTTCTGGTTGCTTAGGGGTAGGGCAGGCCCGTTTGTGCTAGGGCGGAGCTTTTCAAGAATGCCGGGCCCGGTACAGTGTTTCTCCTTCGCGCTCCTGTTGGGTTTTGCAATTTTGCCGGCGCGCGCCGCGCGCCTGTCTAATCCTTTCCAGGATTAGAAGCAATTTGCGTTGTCGCGCATGTCCCATGTCCATGCGCGCTCCCACCCACGCCCTTCAAAGGAAGCAAAAGCGGCTGCCTGTGTCGCCGTAGGCCATGCGAAATAATTCTTCGCGCGCGCTGCGCGCGCGATGCGGGTACCCTAATGCCGGCCGAGGCATTTCTACCTGGATTCCGGGCGAGGATGCCGGCTCGGGCCTTTCTGCCTACCTTGATTCTCTCTCAGTAGAAATGCTGGGCCTTGCATTTCTGCCTTGATTCCCAGTAGAAATGCCGGCTGAGGTGGTATTTCTGCCTGGATTCCCTGTAGGAATGCCAGACCTCCTGGTATTTCTGCTTCGATTTCCTGTAGGAATGCCAGGCCTGCTGGCATTTCTACTTAAATTTCCTGTAGGGATCTTCGATCTCTGGCACGAATGCCATGGCGCTTGCGCTTCTAGCTTGATTTCCAGTAGAATTGCCAGCCCTCCTGGCGTTTCTACCTACCTGG